CAAGAGAGTTTAACCATAAAAAGAAACAACCCACAGGTCGAGCCACCTGCTAACAACGAATCCGCGTGCATGGGGCAAAGAAACAATTGACGTCATGGTGAACCCAAAGTAACTCTAGATTGTAAGCTTATTTGAGCAGGGCCCTCATTAACCTTGATCCTGTTAATATTTGTAAGTGTGTCCCATATACTGTTAAATGCCTTTTTTTTTTTTAAATGTAAAGCACTGGGGAATATATCATTTATATAAATCCAAGAACAATAATGTGCTTAAAGCAGCGCTTAAAGCAGCACTGTCATGTTTTCTTTTTTTCTGCTTTCCCTTCCTCATTCCCCTTGTATCTTAAAGGTTCACTCTAAAGCCTAAATAAAAATAGTAATAAAAAAAACCAAACTAAAACACACTACTATTTAGTAGATACGCCTCCAATAAAAACACTTGTGCATTTTTTCATTGGGGTACATCTAAAACAGCTTGCAAATTCTGCAGATCTCGTTTGCAGCCTTTGCAAACCCTCCCCTTCTAACCCCGCCCATACATTCTGTGGCTGTCCAATCACAGACTTCCCAGTACAGCTCAATGAGAAGTCTTTGTAAGGCAGGTGCTCTGGGCAATGGCTGCCTCTTGAGTTGCGACGTAAGAGGTTAGGGAAGTGTCAGTCATTAAAGACGGAGCCACGCCATTGAATAGCAGGGCCTTCAAAAGAGTGGTATATCCCAGAGCACACATTACTATCCTGCATCATTAAATCACAATCCATCTCCATATGCCCCATCTGCATGATCTAGAAGAGCTGCTAAGGTTTCTCTTCTGTGGACTGTGACTGTTTGACAAACATATATGAGGAAACGATTGACTACAGTTTGGAAAAACTATTCCAGAGAGCTCATACTTCACTTTATTTCAATGTGGTGAGACCCACCATTTTTGTCAGATTGTCCCTGAGACCATTTTTTAAAAGCTTTTTTTTTTTTGTTCCCTTTTTTTACAAACTGCCATTACTTTGGACATTTCATATTGTGATGTATAAGGATAAAATTAATATTTATATCTACAGTGACTGACACTTTAAACTACATATTCTGCAGAATGACAGATGTGTATTTGGGTCCTTTTTTGTCTTCTTTTTTGTTTGTTTAGTTATTTCAGCTCTTTTTTTGATCTGTTGTTCGTTCTCAGTATTCTCTTGCATTCTGTTTATTTGCTCTCCCTAAGTTTAAAGGGTAATCCAAACGTGGACCTTTTGATCACGGTGCCTGGAGGGGTATTGGCTGTACCTTTGTGACAAGGCTTAGCAAGACCGAAATTATCATTTGGGGTTGCTGTATCTCTCATGCAGAGAGAGACGGCTTACATTTGAAATCTGGACCGGCTGTTTGGGTGGGATCACTGTAATATACAAACAGCCTAGGTTCTCTTTTAATGGCACAAGATGAGCTAAAACCAGCTTGAGATCTGAGCGGGGACCCACCAAAGAACAGGCTACTTGATTTTTTTTTTTTACTTTTCCAAATTGGAATAGTATTGGTGATAGGGGGTAGATGTTTATTTTAGATTTACTCTAGTGATGCATTTTTGTGATGGATATCTAACTTGATTTTTCTAACTTGTGATGGATATCAGCACCTTGGCATCTCCATTTTTCTCTCTTCTGTTCATGATGCCTACAGTCTGCCCTTCTTTGGGATACTTTTGACTAATGGATTGCAGATAAATTAGCTTAGCAACAGAAGAGGATGCCCAAGACACACAATGTGGGCAAAAGGCTATGACTGCAAGTCCTCTCTAAGCTCAGGCAATGTAGCTATAAGTGCAAAATGAAAAACAGCAGAATACCAGTGGGGTTATTACACAATGTAAGACCCTACAACACCTTGGTGGGGTTCCCTTAACCCTCACCAACATATATACAATATAGAACAAACAAGGTGGAGTATCTAACATACAATGGATAATGACAATGTCCCAAGATATTGCTCCTATGGAGGGAAAATGGACAGATAATAGTGCAATATAGTTATAATCAATAAATGCTGTTAAATGAAAGAGGAGGTAGAACACTCACAAACATAGAGCCTAAAGATTTGCCTCAAACTTCAAGTGTTGTGGGATCTTGTAGGGTACCACTCCCTCTTCTGTGTACAGTAGGGTAGATTCCCTCTTCAATACGTAGTGAGGTAGATGACCCTCTCAGTAACAGAGTTGCTCCAATGATCTTCCAAAATGAGCTTTATTTTATCCAATCAGTAATATAAAACAATGTTTAAAATAAATAAAAAAAGTCCTTATCCTTACAATTCGTAGATCCTTTTTTCAGGTTAGCAAAACGCATTTCTCCCCTCATGGGGGCTTTTTCAGTTGCTGTAAATGGGGAACACTCATTGTCCTCCATTATATACTGTCCGATATTCTCCGGTTATTGAATTTTAGTTCCAGCTATGCGCGTGCATACCTGGAAGTAGGTCCCACCTTCGGGCTGCGCCCACAGTCACTTCTCTACATCCGACGTGTAACCAGTGATGAGAGTGACTGGATCGCAGTGCTTGCGTTCCACCTTGCTCTTGCTGACATGTTGGAACGCAAGGAAGCCGTTCCATTATTGTCTATAGTCCCTTCTAAAATATAGTATATACATACACAAAAACGGAGACAAGAATCCATAAAATAATGTAATAATGCTATGCCCACTACGAATTAAAATATGTTGCTCTAAATCAGAATCCTACTTAAAAATGGCACACTTCAAAATCCGAATTCAATCCGTGGGGCATTAGTGTACAGAAGTTAAATATAAATTTAATCTCCTCTCTACCCATTTTTTTTAATATAGTTACCTCCTCTACAATCTCTTTTAACTTCCTTAACATGCTTTGCGATCTGGATCTTTAATGGTCCAATTGTTCTGCCCACATACAATATGTTACATGGGCATTGTAATACGTATATAACTCCCTTTGTGTGACATGTGAGATGGTCAGTTATGGCGTATTCTTTGTTAGTAAATTGCTCTAGGTTAACTATATGTCATCTTTTATTTATAGTTTCTTTGCATGGTAGACAGGAGCCGCATCCATAAAATCCTTTTAAATCTTGTAAAAAATGGTTAGATTTTTTGGGACTAAAGTGACTATTAACTAAAATATTTAAAAAAATTTTTACCCCTCTATAAATAATTTTAGGTTCCACCGTTAAAATTTTTGCCAATGTCTCTTAATTGTTTTTTGTACTTGTTTACTTTGTCCGTGATAATTACAAATAAAAGGTATTCCATCCATTTTCGTTGTGTTGTTCTTCATATAACTCTTCCTTCTAACCCTTCTCTAAAAATTGTTCTTTCAAGTAGTTGGCTTGATTAATAAAAATCTGAGTTTCGTTTACAATTCTGCCGGATCCTAAGGAATTGCCCCTTAGGAACATCATCCAGCCATGGTCTGTGGTGACAACTGGTTTTCTCTATATATCCATTGGCATCAACTGGTTTAAAAAAATGCTTTGTGACAATAGTGGAATTCTGGATGCTGGATCTAAAAAAATGATTTCAACAGGACTGATGGTACTAGTAAGCTTAATTTCCCAACTGTTGGAATTAAGATATTCAAAAAAATGGTTCAATTCTTCTCGTACCCCTGTCCAGATAAAAAAGATGTCATCTATAAAATGGCGATATGACACCAAGTTTGCCACCCAGCCATGACCCTGCGTGACATACTTATCCTCCCAAAAGGCCATGAAGAGATTGGCATAGCTTGGGGTGAACCAAGTTCGGTGTCATATCGCCATTTTATAGATGACATCTTTTTTATCTGGACAGGGGTATTAATGAAATTTAATGAAATAACCAACTAAAAGTGGTCTGTACCTCCTTTCTGGATATTTTCATAAATTAAAAAGTGGTCTGCATCTTTTTTCTGTATAATGTTATGAGCTCAATAGAGATCTTTTATTATTTCCTATTAATTTCTTATTTTTATGTACTGCAATTTCATAGTATTTTTTCTGAGAGACACTAAGATACAATCGAGATTGCATAGCATTATTACATTATTTTATGGATTCCTTTCTCCGTTTTTGTGTATGTATATACTATATTTTAGAAGGGACTATAGACAATAATGGAACGGCTTCCTTGCATTCCAAACATAGCAGGCTTGCGTTCCAAAATGTCAGTGGACAGAATACAGCAAGAGCAGGGTGGAACGCAAGAACTGCGATCCAGTCACTCTCATCACTGGTTACATGTCGGACGTAGAGAAGTGGTGCGCACGCAGCCCGGAGGTGGGACCTATTTACCCGGAACTAAAATTCAATAACCGGAGAATATCGGACAGTATATAATGGAGGACAATGAGTGTTCCCCATTTACAGCAACTGAAGAAGCCCCCACGAGGGGAGAAACATGTTTTGCTAACCTGAAAAAAGGATCTATGAACTGTAAGGACTTTTTTAAACTTATTTTAAACATTGTTTTATATTACTGAATGGATAAAATAAAGCTCATTTTGGAAAATCCTTGGAGCAACTCTGTTACTGAGAGGGTCATCTACCTCACTACGTATTAAAGAGGGTATCTACCCTACTGTACACAGAAGAGGGAGTGGGACCCTACAAGATCCCACAACGATTGAAGTTTGAGCCAAATCTTTAGGCTCTACGTTTGTGAGTGTTCTACTTCCACTTTCATTTAACAGCATTTATTGATTATAACTATATTGCACTATTATCTGTCCCTCACATGCTCACATATTAATACAATCGATGAGGACAGGCAGAAAAATATATAATTAGGTATCTCTTCCAGAGAGACTTACTGGTGAGGTGATTTGACCGGGTTGCAAACCTGGGTTTTCCAGTTCTAACGATGTGACATTATCACTGTTCTAAGCCGTTGATACATACATTTTTGCACATTTTTTTCACTTGTGTTTTTCAGATTTTGCTACTAAATCAATAACTGCTGTGCTGTGTTAAAGTGAGTAAGCTGATTGCTTTTTGTTGGATGGCCCATGTCTGTTTCAACAATTACATGGTTTTCTTCCAGAATTAGCAGTGAGGTATTCACAAGTATAAGAAATAAACAGAATGATAATAAATCCATTTATTCAGTAATATTCTTGCTGGTTATGGTATTTCACATCAGATGTAGTTAGAGATGGGGCGCTAGGAGAAAGGGAGCCGGCAGATTAACAATTTTTACTTTTGTCCAGATCTTTGTAGGCTGGGTTATAGGGGGCTTTAGAGAAGCAAACAGCAGCCGCCTTGTCACAGTTACAGATGAATTGCTCGCAGGAGTTGTTGGTAGCTGAGGAGAGACAGTTTGTATATATCAAATGAGATGTGATGTATGTAATTCAGATTAATAAAAACGGCAGTTAATTATTTCATTCAACATACATGCAAGTTAAACACATTTCTTAGTATAACTGATAAATTATTTAAATACTTTAAATGAATAATACCCCATATAAACTCTCCCTATCTCTAACCAAACAGCTCCATAGATATATGGAAAGAGTGACATCTACTGCATTGAACATTATAAACTATGCTTCCATCACAAAGTACACCTACCATTTTTTCTAAAACAAAATCAAAATAATTATTCCCTCACCATGCCAACAACAGTATTCCCCATTACAGAAACAATGATTTATTCCTGGATTCCATTCAGTCCCTTTGCATTGGACAGAGAGATTATTTTGATCACCTCTTACATACATCTTCTGTTTATACGGCAACCTACCAGATGCAAAAATAGAGTGGCTGTATACAAGCAGTTGGGGAGTAGGAAGGGAAGGCTACGAGCACACTGTAGGGCTTATGTGCCGGCAATAGCAGTCTGTGATGTCATATATACAAGAGATGCCTGGTTTTAACAATACAGCTGTATGTGTGCACAAATGCAACATTATTATTATTATTATTATTATTTCATTCTGGGTGCATTATTGAGAAACTGCATAACTAGGTTGCTTGTCCATTAATACATTTTATGTCACATCCCATGTATGTTAGAAATGTTTTTTTTCTTTTTTTTTCTGCCACTATTTCAAACTATTTCAAAATATTATTTATTGGATTATATTACTAGTGATACTACAGAAAACATGCAAAAGACAAACTATATGTTACACATTACAAGGTGAGCTGGGCTTCGAGACATGTGTATAGATGACCTACATGAGCAGGTGATGGTGGTCCCAGAGCAGCTGTATTTGTATCCATTGGTATATACATTATCGAATATGCCAGAACAGCCTTGATTCTTGGCATTGGAGTAGCAGTTATCATGGGTCTGACAGCACCTGAAAAAAAAAGTATATAAGATGGTTTATTCTGGGATATGCCCTTCTTTCTCAACATCAAGACAGCTGGTGCTTAAGAGACTCATTGATAGGCATGTGCACGAAAAGCATTTTTGGTTAATTAGTTCAGAAACAAAAAAATCTGTTACAGAGCATCTGGAATTCATGTACATGTATTTGGTTTGTTACAAATCACTCCACTGCCACTAGGGGCGTTTTATAAGAATTAGAAGAGTAAAACGTTTCTATTTTTATCAGATGGTCTTAGGGAGCCTTCGAGAGTCCATTTAATTGGCGCTGAGCGGTGTTTTGCCACGTACTACCGTCCCAATGCTTTCCCACAGGAAAGCATTGGATTGGCTGAGAACATCGAGATCAAAAATCTGTGAGGGAGAAAATGTGAGTAAAACTACTGTGTTTTTCTCCCTTCGGGTGGCCTATTAGGCACCAGGAAACGATACCATTAGGAATACAAATTTGTATCTCTCACACTGTAGTTCATTTAATCTCTATGGAAATATGAGTCCCATTAATAGAACAAGATAAGTGCAAAATTAATGCAAAATATTACTTTTAATGAAAGGCACATGTGCAATTGCATGCACACACTCACAGACAGACAGATAAAATAAGAATTATTTGCATTATAAAAATCTAAAACATTTTTTAAAATGGAAATAAAAGATAATTTTATGTCCATCATTAATTACATTTGTTTATAATTTCATTAGTGTTATACTCTTATTTGTTTACTTACTTGCTATTTATGTGCTTACTATTTAAACTAAGAAGAAATAGTAAACTCACAATAGTTGCTGCACTGTCATTGGCTGCAGCGTCCCACGTGCTATGACGAATGCCATTGATGAAATTCATTCAGTGACCTATTTGTTGATTTGGTTTGTTCATTCAAACAAATTGATAAAAAAAAATAATTTGTTTTTGCACGAAATGAACGAAAAACAAAATTTTCGCTCATTTGGCCATTTGTTAAAAAACCAATGCATGCCAAGTCACTTATACATAATGCTATCGAACAATTTTAAACTATCAATCATCAAGAATTAACCATTAACTTAGGCTAATGATAAATTCTAGCCACATTCTCCAAGATTGAAATAGAACACAGGCATAGTTTAGCTATTTCTACCAACAGTTTGAAATCTGCTGGACAATTCCCAGTAATTGCTTATATAGTGATTTTTCCTGTATGTCAACAGAGAGCAGGCACTCGACGTGTGTAGATGGGTGCAGGTCCCAGAGGTTACCATCCCAATTTATTTATTTCTTTATTACTGGTATTTATAAAGTGCCAACAGATTCTGCAGCGCTGTACTATTAGTGGAGAACTTAAAATATACACAGACAAATACAAAAGGTAGAGAGGGCCCTGCCCGTAAGCTGAAATATTGCCATTTAAGCTCTTTTATACAAAATTCATATAAAGATAGCCCGTGAGCCTACAATCAAAAGGATACCATGGGGATTTGAGACAAGAGGTTGCAGGGGAAATTTGGAAGTGATGGCTAAATAAGGAAACAGAGAGTTGCAGCTACTGGTAGAATATAGAGGGAATGCCTCTCAGACAATAAAAAAATAAAATAAATGTCCGAATCCATTGTGGTGGAATAAATGATCCTATGTTTGGTAATATGGTGTTGCAGTTTGCGATATTTAATTTTTGCTGGCTGTCAGGAAGGTTTTTTTGCTTATCTGTTAGCTCCATGGAGCTAATGGAAGTAGCAGACGTGCTGTGCTAGCATGCCTGCCTCCCCCTCTTCTCAATGTGCTATATTACAGGTCATTGAAAAGAATTAACCGTCATTGGCAAGCTTCAATGGCTTCAGCACAGAGGCTTCTCAATGAGAAGTCTCTGATTAGAGTGTTCTCCAGCTCAGACTAAAAGTGCTGAACGTCTATGCTGGGAAAAAACGGAGAGGGCTGGCAAAGGCTGCAGACAAGAAATCTGCTGTGTTTGCAAGGCCAAACATGTTTTAGTTTAATTTGTTTAAATGTTTCAGATGAAATTAAAGAAGAAGTGATAACATGCATAGTGGGAAATATTTTCGTTGCTAAACATTGAGTATATAGCTGTTGAATTGGGGAGGTAAAACCTATAATGTGAAATGATTTGAATTAACTAGTCATGTTTAGGAAACCAATGACCTACAAAATTAACATTATGCTTTGTTAATTGACCTCACATATGACCAGGTAACACCTTCAAATTGGGTAAAACAAAAATCGAAGGAGTGTTCTTTTAAATGTAGAAATCAACACTAATGAATTACTTCTATCCTAAACTGAGCTCCTCCATTATTATTATTATTTTATTATTTATATAGCGCCATCAGATTCCGTAGCGCTGTACAAAGGGACATCTTGTCTCCCTGTCAATCATCATCATGAAAGCAATACTTTTCTGCCATTGAACACAGTGGAAAAAGAGAAACAATACTGAAGTTTTTTTCCTCCTCCCCTTTGCATTCTGTGCCCTGGCTTTGCCTCGGCTGAGCTGGATTGTGACATCACTTCCTCAATCTTGGATATATTAAAAAAGAGCATTTCATGAAAAAGGTTTGCCATGTTCTGAATGATTATCAATGTTTGATTCGATGGTAAAATCTTCGGAGAAGTGATGGTTCGCCTTTAAGATTCAGGGAAATTACTTGTGGGATGCAATCATTTAAAAAAATTTTTTTTTTTTTATATATTGATAAAATTAAATGTTATTGTGTGACCAATTATGAACTATGCATTCATTCATTAATAAACACAGAGAACTTGATAAGACATAATATAATGTGTAATTGGGTACCTGTCCAGGGTGTCCTTTGGAGTGCCGCTACCTCCTAGTCCACAGTAACACCCATAATTGTTAAATTCTTTCAGGGGCGCGCTGTTCGGAATAGCACATTTGATTAAAGCATGGAAATCCCAGAGTGCCCGACTGTTTGGGGCAGCACTAATGCAGGATACTAGAAAAAGGGAATAGAAAAGAATAGAAAATGAATGTCCACCATGATTTAAAACCATGTTTTCTATAATGTAAATATCACTGGTGAAAAAAAAACCTGAGAGTTAAACAAAAGCTGAGGATACGTCAGACTAAAAAGACCTTTACTAGAAAGTCACCTGGCACTAACTCAAAACCATGCATTCAATTAAAAACAGAATATATATATATATATATATATATATATATATATGAAACAAAGGGGGGTTGGCTGCACTCACCTGAACATGCATAAATGGGGGTGCTGCTGGGGGCCAAATTATACAATACACAAGATCCAGCGCACTCACCTATCCACTAAACAGCAACTTCAATGTTGAAAGATTTTATTTGTTTTTTTTAAACATGCATGTTCAGGTGAGTGCAGCCAACCCCACTTTGTTTCATATATATATATTTGGGAGTCTAGCCAACTCCTTGGTTTTGCACCCCTCCCTGTCACAGGTGCCTCATCCCAGGGCCCTATTTAGCCTTGTACTGCAGAGAGCCCCAGATGGAATTTTTTCCCCCAAGTAAGTAATTAATCTCATAAGAGCAGACATTAGGCTGTTAGTGTAGGACCTGCCAAAGATGGGGTACATTGACGTTGTGGCAGGCTTATGCAATGTATGATCATATAATGTAACTAAACCCCCATTATTTTTGCCTAGATTACGTGTTTTTAAAAAAAATAAAAAAATCTTTCAACATTGAAGTTGCTGTTTAGTGGATAGGTGAGTGCGCTGGATCTTGTGTATTATATATATATATATATATATATATATATATATATATATATATATATATATATTTTTTTTTATGAAACTAGTACAATAAATAGCATTAAAAAATCCAATACAATCTCAGAAGATAGTGATTAGAGAAAATAAATTAATAATATATATATATATATATAAATAAAAAGATGTCACTGTCTAAAAAAATAATATATATTAGTAAAAACTCTACAAAGCCAATCTATGTTAGTGCACATCCAAGTATTACGTAAGTCCAGTGTCATAGAACTGAATATATCATATAAAATAATAGTCCCGATATCAGTATAGTTCAAAAGTCCACACTGCATGTAAATAAATACTGGTCTCAGTATGTCGGCCAACTTATAAAGACTCCTGTAGAAAATCATCTGGAATCACCACAACTTGGCTAATATTAATCAGGTACTAAGACATCTCCCATATATCAAACAGTACAAAGGCTTGGGTAGCTCCCAAACAATTATACCAGATCACTGTCACAGGTCTAGCATCTACAGCTGCAGTGTCAGTTCAGAAGAAAAAAATATATATACATCATTGTGCTCTCTGTCTAGCTTTATTTAACTTAAAAAATAAGATTAGAAACACTCATAGGGTTAGACCTGTGAAGATGTTATCGTTCAATCACGAAATGCATAAGGCAGACTAAGCCTATTACTTTAAAAGGATTAGGTTGGCATAGACCTACCAAAAAGTTCCTTATCACTTTTCTAGGATCATGATTTTACTAGTTATTGTGAAAAATTGAGCAGCATTCTGGCTACAGATTGGTGGAGTAGTTTAGAAGAAACAAAAATAAAGATGAATAGTGTTACGTGCACATGTTGGTCCTGTAAAATTCATTGCACTGACAGCAACATTGACGTATGCAAAGACAAATGTTCAGTTTTAAATATTTTAACTGATAACTGCAAAATGCCGTCAAGAAAAGTATTCTTACCTAAGACCCAGGTAGTCTACTATCGTTGGGGAAAAGTAAGAACGATTAAAGTTTAATATCGTATGTGCACATCGGTGTCTGCCTATATATCTGGTAAACATTATCCAAATTCATCTTTCAAACTTCATACAATGAAGCCAAGGATCATAATTTAAACATACCTGCCAAGAGCAGAACCAGGAACCTCATGGTTACAGCAGTGGAGACTCAAATGTCTAATATTTACCTTGTTCCTTATATAGTGACTCTAGGACCTTCACACTTCAGGGTCACAAAGGTTTGCAAACTGACTGCTGCCAAATGCACATTTTCCCACTTCAGGCAGGTGAACCGAGAACCTCGACCTTGAATATGTATGGTAAACTAATTTCTAAAAGGTCACGCAGGTCTCTGTACATACCAGTCGAAAGATAAGGGGCCTTCTCCTCAGGGCCAGTTTTTAACTCTTTTATAGCTGTTGAGTTGGGGAGGTAAAACCTTTAGTGTGAAATTATATAATTTAACTAGTCGTGTTTATGAAACCAATGACCCACCAAATGAACATTATGCTTCGTCAATTGACCTCACATATGACCAGGCAACACCTTGATAGTTATCTGCATTGGAAATCTGACCATGACTTAACATATTGATTGTCCACCAAAGTGTTGGCAGCTCTGTTGATTTCCTGACATAGCTAGGCAACAAATCATGAAGCTGGATGTATCCCAACCTAGACAATTTAATAGGACACTCCAGGCCATTGCTATGTTGTTAGGAAGATGTAGATGAATACTTAAAGGAACACTCAAAGCACCCTAACCATTAATGGTCTCTGTAGTGATTATGGCACCAGGGTCGCTCTGGCATTGTCCCACATTAAAATGTCAGACAGTTTTAGTGTGGTTTGATAACTAATCTGGGTCCCACCATGTTCACCATATTCCTCGACTGTGACATTGTTATTTATTTAAGACTGGACGTCTGTTGCTTTCTCTTTCATTTTCTCAGTGGACAGAGAGAGTTGAAGGAGTCAGATCTATCATTGCAAAACACCAATTTTCTGTTACAGCATCCACTTCTCAATTACTAATACTTGCAGGGTGCATCTCACATATAGTCAGGGTAACAAAGTTATTTTAGACTTTTTAGTTATTAATTATATTAATGCCAATTTCACATCAAGACAAGGCTCAAGGCAGCTGTGTGACTTTATTACAGACTCCTGGCAGCAGTCAGGACGTTTCATTAAATTGGTTTATTGCAAATTAATTTAGTTTGCAAATAATGCCATAACTACAGTCGTAGAGCTCACAATGCAGCGGCACGGGGAGTCTCGACACGGCAAGCCTCTGAACAATGAATACAGAGACTGGCTCTCTGTATCCAGCTCTGCAAGATTGTCCTTTAATACAACTACAGCACTGTATACACACAATACAACCCCTATTTTTTTCCCACTTTGGGTGTTAGTGGGGGCCTCATGTTTGAGTTTCGCCTAAGGCCTCACAAAGTCTAGAGCCGCCACTGAATAGGGCCCATCTGAGAATTGGCCACTGGAGGTGTTCCTAGACAGTAATGTAAACAATACCTTTTCTCTGAAAAGGCAGTGTTTACATTAAAAAGCCCACAGGGTCTGACTATACTTACCAGAAGAACTACATTAAGCTGTAGTTGTTCTTGTGACAATAGTGTCCCTTTAAGTATTCATAAGCGTGAAAGGTGAGAGCACCTTGCAAGAATTTGCAGTTAAAAATCAGATCTTTGAACAAGGACCCTCAATGAGGATTAAGATGCTTAACTGTAGAGATAGTGGGAAGCAGTGACAAACAATGGGGGTATTGATGGCATACCTCCTTAAAGGCACCAACTGAGCATAATGAATCACTTTTGGTGCATAGATCATGCTCCTGCAGTCTCACTGCTCAATTCTCTGCCTTGTAGGAGTTAAATCACGCTTGTTTCTGTTTATGCAGCCCTAACCACATTTCATTTGCTGTTAACAGGTGTTTTATCAAAATTCCCTACCCTCATCACTTTCGGTGACGCAGCCGCACTGGAAATGAGGCCGAATCTGCATGTCGGTTTACCCCTTGTGGTGTGCCTGTGCCCCACCAGGAGGGGGGTATAGTATACATATGGGAAGCTATGTTTTTGGCTACAGGGTTAAAACTAGAGGGACCTGGCACCCAGACCACTTCATTGAGCTGAAGTGGCCTGGGTGCCTATAGTGGTCCTTTAATAAAATAGGGAGGGAGACAAGTATTATTATTATTATGATATTTATAGAGCGCTGTCAAATTCCGCAGCAGTTTACAATGGGTGGACAAACAGACATGTAGTTGTAAGCAGACAAGTTGGACACACAGGAACAGAGGGGTTGAGGGCCCTGCTCAATGAGCTTACATGCTAGAGGGAGTGGGGTAAAATGACACAAAAAGGTAAGTAAAGAAATAGAGGACACCAGATTGATACACAAACTCATAATCTATTGTGCAGAGATACTGTACAAAAGACTCCTTTCCCAAAGGTTGAGATGGAGGAAATCAAATCCAGCTTGTAATGTTTGATGAAGGTAGACTAAGTAGCTTCCAGATTTGCCCTAGAGGAATCTCTGCCCAATTTGCCCAAGAAGTAGCCAAGGATCTGGTAGAATTAAGTAATGTGTTTATGACTGATTCAGACAGTCTTTGGTTCAGGAGGGATTACCATTCATAAGCCATGCCCAGGTAATAAGTTTCTTCCCTTCCACCCATATTTCCTTCAGGACTCTGAAAATTAGAGGCGGGAGGGAACACATACCCCAGATCGAATTGTCATTTCTGAGAAAGATCATGTTGTCCAAGGGCTTGTGGATCTCGTGACAGGGAGTAGAAGCAAGCCACTTGAGAATTCTTGTGGTTATTCTGAGATCGATCTGACATATGCCCCACCTCTCTGTCAGGATTTCAAATACATTCGCCTGGGAGGTTACGGCTCTGCTGAGGCAATCTGCTAGATGGTTTTCTGGTCTGCGAAGGTACAGACCTTTTAGCTGTAGTTGAGCCCAAGCTATCAGGGAAAGTTCTTGGAGGTGTTGATTGCATTTGGATGATTAATATAAGCCACCACTGCCCTGTTGTCTGTCCTGATTAGGATTCAAGGGCTTCTGATGACATGCTTTAATTTTCTGATGGCATAATAAATGGTTCTGAGTTAGCAAAGATTTGAGTGGATAGTCCATTCTGATGCATTCAGGTTTTGTCCGTGTGTACTCCAACAAGGTGACAAGGAGCTATTTTCCTCATTGATCACCCAATGTTCTTGAAGACACTTCAGAACTTGCATAGTGTGGAAGATGTCTTTCTGAAATGTAGGGGTGATGACCAATATCTCATCCAAATAATTGAATATTGATATGCCTTTTAGCTACCTAGGCTGAAAAGAGGCATGTGTCCATCAAGTTCAGCCTTTCTCGCATATGTTTTTGCTGTTGATCCAAAAGGCAAAACACTTAGTTTGAAGCACTTCCAATTTTGCAACAAACTAGGAAAAAAATCCCTCTTGACTCCAGAATGGCAGTCAGATTTATCCTTGGATCATGAAGCTATTTGCCTACAATTTAAATATTATATCCTTGAATATTATGTTTTTGCAAGTACGCATCTAGTTGCTGTTTAAACATCTCTACAGACTCTGATAAAACCACTTCTTCAGGCTAAGAATTCCACATCTTTATTGTTCTTTCTGTAAAAAAAAACACCTTTAATTTGCCTTAGACTATATCTCCTTTCTTCAATTCTAAACATGTGACCTTGTGTCCTATGTATGGTCCTGTTTGTGAATAGATTTCCAGACAATGGTTTGTATTGCCCCCAATTATATTTGTATAATGTTATCATATCCCCTCTGATGCGCCATTTTTCTAAACTAAAGAGGTTTAAATTTGTTAACCTTTCTTCATAGCTAAAATGTTCCATTCCTTTTATTAATTTGTAGCTCGTCTTTGCCCTTTTTCTAGTGCCATAATATCCTTCTTTAGAACTGGTGCCCAAAATTGCACAGTATATTCAATATGTGGTCTTACCAGTGATTTATAAAGAGGCAAAATGATATTCCCATCACAAGAATCAATACCATTTTTATACATGACAATACCTTACTGGCCTCAGCCACTGCTGATGGACATTGCACATTTTTTCATAGTTTGTTGTCTATAATAATTCCCAAATCCTTCTTGTGTGTTGTTATCCCTAATTCACTACCATTTAGGGTGTAAGTTGCTTGTGCATTCTGAGAAAGGCTATGAGGACAATAAGAATTTTTGAGAAGGTTCTGGGAGCCAGGCTTAGACCGAGTGGAAAGCTTCTGAACTGAAAATGTATTTTGAATATGAAGTGAATTAAAAGAGAAAAAGTGACAAAAGAGAGAAACTTGAAGTGTTGAATGGATCCTGCTCACACCAGAGACCTGTAGCACTCCTCTGTCAGCTGGGGCCATATTCATAGGCTTAAGACTGCCAAATGAGCTGCGTGCAGTACTCACGGGGATAGCTAAATGCAGCTTTTTAAATTATTTGATGTCAATGTGGCTGAGCATGATCTCATTTAGCCGCAGTGATGGCAAGTCTCAGGGACTTGCAACTATCTTGAGACCCTGACATGGTCTCCCTACATGCCTACCCTGCCAACTGTGATCGTTGCTGAGCTTTGTCAGCTGACCAGCACCAATCACAGTTTGAGCGGCAGAGCCGGAGATTTAGCAATAGTTAGATTTCCATGTCATACTGAAAACAGCCAGTAGATGGCGGTCACAAATCACACTCTACTGGTTTGACTTAAAAATCTTTTTGCTAATGTCAGTACTGATAGTAGCAGAGATAAACCCTTAGGATCAGTTTCAGGACTAGAACATCAGCAGATGGAATCCTTCTAACACTGTTTAAAATATATGATCTGCAGTAGGAAGAAAAAAACATCATAGTGTACTATCTTAAATGTATACTAATAGTGACACTATGATGTTTTTTTCTTCCTACTGTAGATCATATATTTTATGCATGTTTTGAGAGGACTGGAAGGAGTCCTTTTTGTCAGATTCTACAGAGTGAGGTATAAATATGTATAGGTAAAGTGTTCATTTGTTTGCTTTTTGCCTCCTGACTTTACGTTTTTCCACTTGTGATTGTTAAGGGTGTTTCTATTGTATTATATTTACCTACTTCTAACACTGTTGTATTCAAGAGATATTGCTAGTTACAGTTAAGGGAATTTTATTATAGTGGCACACGTGAGATAAAAAAAAGAAAATACTGCAAAAATACAATATGTATGTAAACATAAATAGAAATTAATACAACAAACTTTGGGAAAAAAATGCTGAAAAATTTAAATATATCATGTAAGTCATGGTAAGTACATTTGCAAATGGTATGCGTTTATGGAGTGATTTAAATATGTGAGCTACTAAAATGTCCCAAAGTGCACTATATTCCCACTTATAACTCCCACAAAATCTTGTCAAGTGGGTCATTCTGTAATCAGTAGATGTAACTGAGCATAATTTAGTCATTTTTATTAAAGGTTTTATTAAAAGTAGCTCACATGAAGTTTACAAAATAAAATACTTTGAAAGAAATCGATGCAACAATGTCTGTACAATAAAGTTTAATATATTTCATATGACATTTCCTGTGGTTTGTACGTCACAGATGGTACGAATGTATTAAGTAATTAGTATTGTGAAGCTGTTACAATGCTCCAAAATTAGACATAGGCCATCAAATCCATCTATCAAAATTGTAACTGTAAAATCCGAGTCAGGTCTCCTTCATGGCACTTTATATTAACAAGATATTAGCATTGGATATATTGTTTTATTCAGAAGAGGTAGTAATATTGGGGGTTGATCACAGTGACACATATAATATATACAATACACTAAGTAAGAATCCAATGTATATGTAAAAAAAAATAATTTTTTTTACACCAGCTTTGATAGAAACTGAAAAAAAATGTCATCACGTAAAGGCATAATATAGACTATGTGCGATACGATGCAGTGTCTACTTTCACAAACGGCAGGCCTTTTATGGGATTATTTTAACAGTCAAACTGCTATAATGCCCAAAAATGAGACATTGGACCATAAAATACATCCATCAAAATGCTAACTGTAATATATGAAATGGTTCAGGTCTCTTATATGACGCTGAAGCTTCACAGGATAGTGAAAAAAGCATGCATTGAGGGTATTATAGTAAGAAGGTGTAGCTGAACACAATATGGGGTTTTGTACAGGAGTTATCCACATCAGGTTTACGAAATACACATTAAAAAGCTTTGTTGTATGTGTGTATGTAAATAAACAGAAACTAATTTTACTACAATATTTAGCAGAGATTGGAAGTTACATGGCTATGTTAAAAAGTATCAAAATTGATAAACCGCCTGTAATGTCTACTTTATAGAAATATATACCTAATTGTGGCAATTTTGTATTTTTATGATGACTATTAAACTTAGAAGACATATATACCAAATTCTCAAATAGTCCCACATTAACATTTTATGTTACTCCTTGTATTATGTGACCTGAAACTACTAAAAATAAACTGACATCCTTGACATATGATGTACTCAGCAAATCAGGACAAATACATTCATTTATTTTGAATTACTTTTCTTAAGATGCACTTATTACACACACAATATTATTACCAGTACTGTTAAAAAAGTGTTTTGTTGGGGGGCGGAGCCAGCGAGCAACCCAAGCACACGTGCGAGCACTGAGCTCCGGGAGAAATCCACTTACAAAGGACGAAATCGGCAGTTCCGTAAAGCCCAATCACTACCAACGCAGATCAGAACACAATGGGACGCAAATCCAAGCAGCTCCATAATGAGGCAATGCCGTCTTCGCAAAATATCGTCGATTTACTCCGAGCAATGCCGCGGCCTGCCAAGATGGCGCCCGTGCGGGAAGCCCCTGAACACTCCTCAGATGACAGTATGGAGGAGGCCGCTGAAGCAAGGAGCACTAGAAGGGAGAGTACTCCACCTCCTGAACAAATGCCGGCAAGCAAAGCAGACATCATCCATCTGCTCAAGGAGCTTAAAGCTCAATCGGCAGCAGACGTGGCCCTAATCAGGGAAGATCTGGGTGCCATGACAGCCCGCATACAGGCTGTGGAGGTGAATGAAGCTGCTACAACAGCCAAAATTGAAACCCTTCAAAGACGAAATGGCCCAAATGAAGAAGACCAGCACTATATTGGAAAATAAAGTGGCGGCACTGGAAGACTGTAAGCGCTAGCGAAACCTCAGGATAAGGGGGATACCAGAGGCTGTGCAGGACCCTGAGGTCGCACACTACTTACACTGATTACTAGCCTCCATGCTACTACAAGCTAAAGCAAAATCCATCTTGCTGGAGTTTCACTTTCGCATACCTAAACCACCAAGAGCCCCAGCTGATGTCCCACGGGACCTACTTATCCGCTTTCAATCTCTCCGGGGCAAACTACTAGTACAAGAAGCAGCCCGAGAAACTAACACATATGAGTTTGAAGGCTCTGAGCTATCTTTCTATACTGACCTCTCTAGGGCAACCGTCACATGGCGACACTCCATTAAAGAAGTCACCCAACTACTGAGAGCCAAGGGGATACAATACAGATGGGGACCAGGGTGCAGGCTCTCTGTCAGCAATGAAGGCAAAAGAGTACACATCACCCAAGCAAGTGACTCTGTAGCATTTCTGCAAACCTTGGGAATATCCCTGGAGGCCACTACAAGCACTACCTCCGCAGCAAAGACACCAGCGAACATATCCATTTAAAATGTAGCAAAACTATGATAGATGATAACTGTACACATGCTATGCTACAATAAAAATTATAAACTTAAAAAAAAAAAGGGGAACTGGGACATTCGTGTGTTTCATATTATATTGTGCTTATCTCAGTAAAGCCATAAAATATTTCGTTTCATAAAAAAAAAAAAAAAAGTGTTTTGTTTTACTTTTTTATTTAAATAAATGAGAATTTATAAATGTATATGTCCCATGTAATTAAAGCCATTTTTGTCCTTTAAAAAACAGTGTACAATATGTGTTGGTCCAATAAAAGAGAAAAATAGAAATTGCAGTTGTACACACACATAGCAAAAATGTCAAAATTGCTTTCGTCCTCAAGTAAACGGAAGCTTTGTCCTTCAAGGGTTAAATGTAGAAATCCACACATGTTTATCATGTAACTGGGCTAGTATGTGTTCACTCCCTGTCAATCTTTTTTAGTGGTCCTCAAACTACGCCTGCGGGCCAGATCAGGCCTGCCAGGGTTCTGAACCCGGCAATTGCAGAACCCGCCGCTGTCTTGTCACAAAAGCAGGGCTGGACTGAACGTGTGTGTATGTTCCTACTAGTGAGTGAACTTGTGTGTGTCTGCTAGTGATTGAGTGTGTGTGTGTGTCTGCTAGTGAGTGAGCTTGTGTATGTGTGTGTCTGCTAGTGAGTGAGCTTGTGTGTGCCTGCTAGTGAATGAGCTTGTGTTTGTGTGTGTGTCTGCTAGTGAGTGAGCTTGTGTGTGTGTGTGCGCCTGCTAGTAAGTGAGCTTGTGTGTGTGTGCCTGCTAGTGAGTGAGCTTTTGCGTTACTGCTGAGCACTGACCATTTGCGTTACTGCTGAACGCCGACTATTTGCGTTACTGCTGACCGCCGACTATTTGCGTTACTGCTGAATGGTGACTATTTGCGTTGCTGTTGAGCACTGACCATTTGCACTATTGCTGAGCGCTGATATTTTTTATTTTAGTTTAGTCATAATTGCTTGTATATTATTTTTGTAGCTCTGTATTTATTGGTATTTTGCTAATAGCAATTTTCAATCCCTAGGAAATCATTACGTTAAAAAAAAAAAAAATTGACTCTGAGTGCAGGTTATTCAAAGAACAGTGGACTTATGATTACTTTTTCATGCAGTACAAAGAAAGAGCTGTTTATCTGATATGCCAGAATTTAGTGTCTGTGTTCAAGGAATACAATTTGCGTCGACACTACGAAATTCAACATACAGATACATTTTTTGTTGACATTGAAATTGTTGATCCGATTTACCAAATGGAATTGGCCGAACTACAGAATTGTGACTCTCTGGAAGAAGCATTCAAATCAAGCAGCCTTACTAATTTCTATGCATCTCTCCCCTCTGAGACATATCTTAATCTCAGGAACCATGCACTCAAAATTGCAACCATCTTTGGCAGCACCTATGTCTGTGAACAGACCTTTTCCCGAATGAAACATCTGAAATCTCCAACCAGATCCAGACTAACTGATGAACACTTGCAGTGACAAATATGGAACCGGATATAGACCATCTCATAAGCCAAAAGCAGGCCCATACTTCCCATTGAAATATTACAAGTTTATGTTGATTAAAATCGTTCTTCATTTTAAATATTGCATTGTTTTTCCTGTTTTTTTGTGCACTACAAATAAAATATGTGCAGTGTGCATAGGAATTGGTTCTTATTTTTTTCAAACTATAGTCTGGCCCGCAACAGTGTCTGAGGGACAGTGAACTGGCCCCCTGTTTAAAAAGTTTAAGGACCCCTGATCTAGTTTATCTTCCTGAGAATGCAGAGAAGAGGAGAAATTAAACAATGTTTCTATTGAACCACCTCATCTGCAAAGTTTACCCTGGATTTGCCTTGCCTGAACTGGATGATAATGTGATTTGCTAAATCTTTAATCCCTTAAGGGCCTTAGAATGTTCAATGCCATCCTAACAATAGTGGGCTTTAAAGCCGTTGGCATGGCATGGAACATCAACGTTCTTGTGTGAGCAGGGCTTGCATCATAGAGACCCAAGTATCAATCACTTGGGGCCATCTTGAGTGGCCCCAGACCTACAGATGAGCTGTATGCAGAGCTCAGTAGCCACACACGAGTGTTACGGAGGGCGCCATCTACATCCACTCACAGACTATCTGCTCTCCCAGGCTCTGCTGTGGAGAGAGAGACAGACAACCTCCTCACACTGGTATTCGAACTGGGTATTCTGCAGTTGGGAAGAGAGGTCGGCTACCTCCTTTCCCTGGTCCTGCTGATGGGGATAGAGACTTATAACTTCCTCTTCCTAGCATTTAAACTTCCGTTGGAGAGGGAAGCCTCCCGCATCCTCTCCCTGAGTCTTAATCTGTTGTGGGGAGAGAGGCCGACTACTTTCTCTTCCTGGTCCTGCCACTGGGGAGAGTGTGTTTCCTGGAGCTCCTTCTGCTAATGAGGAGAGAGACCGATAATCTCTTCTCCCTAGCATTCAAACCTCCGATGGGGAGGGATGCCACCCACATCCTGTGAGTCTTATGCTTCCTCTGGAGAGAGAGGCCAATAACCTCCTCTCCCCGGCATTCGTACTGCCGCTTGGTATGGAATCTGCCTGCATCCTGTGCCCGAGTCTTACTCTGCCGCTGGTAAAAGAGATTGATTACCTCCTCTTCCCGACTCTGGGGAGAGAGGCAGACAATCTGATTTCTTCTCCCTCTCTCTGCCACTGTGGAGCGAGGCCAGCTATCTCCTCTCCATGACACTTTCTGCACTCTGTTTCCAGCCTGGATTCCTAGATCATGAGTTTCCTCAACTCATACCAGACCTCTGGGATACCAACTTCTCCATCTGTCCGTTTCAAATTTCCCAGAACCAGGCACACTCTACTCCCATAGTCTTCATCCTGTGTCATGGCATACCTCAGGGTCAACTCACTGAAGCTTGACTAGGGTCTCTGAGGACCTCTTCCAATGCAATGATTAGAGCTAAAGAGTCTTTCTCTCCAATAAAGCAGTGGTAATAGCTAGGAAGTGATTATAACTATATCGCTCCTTCCACCCAACTACTAGTAAAGACAAAACGTAAGGGGAAACACAACTGAGCTTTATTGAAAACAGCACATCTTTTTATACCTACAAAAGCCTCATTTACATACAGCAGGGTTACAGTTGTACACAAAGTTTCCCTTCAGTTCCTCTACCATAACCTCCTCCCTAACAGTACAGCGAGCCCAAGTCAACCAATAGCACTATGGACTTGGGATAGCAATCAATTACACTACACAGCTTTATTACATTACAACTAGTGTGAATGGAGCACTGAAGTTACACGGAAGGGTCGGGGCAGACAATAGTCAGGGCTAAGAACCACATGGGAGATTTAAAGAAGTGACTGGGCAGCCACTTTGAACTGGTCTGGAAGCATCCCTGGAACAATGGGACAATGTCCTACTGAAAAAACAATAAGACAGGAAAGAGAAATGGGATAAGGCACATACAGCCTGGACAATAAACATATTCAACTCAATTCCAGCATACAAAGAAATTGAAAGTTGCGGTACCATATGTTAGACTAGTAATTGTGGAAACCTGGCAAGCCCATATATATATATATATATATATATATATATATATATATATATATATATATATATATATATATATATATAATATATATATATATATATATATATATATATATATATGTATATATATATATATATAAATATATATATATATAAATAATACACAAGATCCAGCGCACTCACCTATCCACTAAACAGCAACTTCAATGTTGAAAGATTTTTTTTTTTTTTTTTAAAAACACCTAATCTAGGCAAAAATAATGGGGGTTTAGTTACATTATATGATCATACATTGCATAAGCCTGCCACAACGTGGCATTGTGTTATTTGGCCCCCAGCAGCACCCCCATTTATGCATGTTAAGGTGAGTGCAGCCAACCCCCTCTTGTTTTATATATATATATATATATATATATATATATATATACGAACTAGAAATCTTATGTATAACTATTTGTATATCACTGTACCTATGCTTTGCCTAGACTGTTATGTTTACCTGTTACCTGTGACACTGTATGCAAAGGTTGCATTTAAAATGTAGCAAAACTATGATAGATGATCACTGTACACATGCTATGCTACAATAAAAATTATAAATTAAAAAAAAAAAAAAGGGGGGAACTGGGACATTTGTGTGTTTCAGATTATATTGTGCTTATCTCAGTAAAGCCATAAAATATTTCGTTTCATAAAAAAAAAAAAAAAATGTTTTGTTTTTACTTTTTTATTTAAATAAATGAGAATTTATAGATGTATATGTCCCATGTAATTAAAGCCAGTTTTGTCCTTTAAAAAACAGTGTACAATATGTGTTGGTCCAATAAAAGAGAAAAATAGAAATTGCAGTTGTACACATACATAGCAAAAATTGGGAAGAAGTAGCCCTGTATACCCACCTCACCAGGGTCCATAGTCGGTGGGGAGTCGGTGCAAGGATAATGGAGGCTTCCGTAAAATGTACCAACAGTGTAAAAAAGGTATACAATACACTGAACTATTCTTATAAAGTTCAGGTACAAATCATAAATGCATCGGATAGATGTTTCAAGACATTTTGTTTGTTTTTTGAGTGATGCTCCATTACGAAGCTTGGAGCTAAACATGGCTCATATGTCACATCCCAGAGTCAATAAAAGAGAAGCATGAACATGGACGATAGAATCATTAGCAATATGAAAGAGAACCCTGCTGCGGAGTGAATGGAAACTGTAAATGATTTCCATTATCTATGCACTATAATACATTAAAATAATAAGGCTGGTACATTGGTGTGCCATTACATTTTTAAATATTAATAAAAGTGTACATTTTGAAAACATTATGAAAACACATATTAGTAATGTGTGAGCAGAAAGGAGGTAGTTCAGAATTATTCTGAGAAGTTAAAGAAATCATAAGAAGACGGCAGTAGGATGAAAACCTGAACTTAAAGGGACTATCTTGACACCAAAACCACTACAGGCTAATGTGCTCTAGACGCAAAGAGACAGTCCCTGCTGTGAACACTGCTTTTTTCCTGCAGTTTCAGCATTTTAAACACTGTCTTTTCTGTTGGTAAGGACACCTCTAGTAGCTATCACTGACACAGCCACTAGAGGTGCTTCTTCTTGCAATCCTAAATTGTTCTTCATGCTTGGCGTGAGGATGCCAAATGCTCCACTTTGAGAAAATATATAATTATTATAAGGAGGTGCTAACTGGCGCAGCGTTGTGATTGCTTTTTAATTGTAAAAATATGTAGTACTGTAGAACATGATACATGATCTTATCCTCTAAAACTCAATTAAGAATGCAAATAAATAATAGAAGCATTGTTGAGGTTGTCAGTGGCTCCTATTTAATTTTTCCTACTTGTTCCAATAAAGGGGTCAGTGGCTTCAACGGAGCATATAAATAGTGTCACTGTGTCTTTCCAAAATCCAGGTGTCCATACTGATTTAATGCCCATTCTAGAAAATACCACTAAACAAGATGTTAATATGAGTGTTTAGTCTGCGCCTATTAGTGAAAATGGATTTATCAAGCTTTACCAGCAAATGAGAAAATAATGATACGAAAGAAAGGAGATTTCACAAAAACAAACACAAGAGATTACAATTTAGCATTTATTTTTCAGCTATCTTAAAAAAAAAAAAAAAATTCCAGTTGCAGTAACAAAGATTATTGCTTTGCAAGTTCAGTACAACATTGTATGTTGTCCCACCCATAATTAACTCCCCATATGTTATTACACTTCTCATAGGAACAGACAGCCAAAGGGCAAAGATCATTTTAGAAAAAGAAAAAAAAAGTCATTCCATTATTTCATAATTGTGAGAATCTATTCCAATTGAACAAAATCGATCTAATAACTGAAGCTGTGTTTGACACAGAAAGTTCTAAATTTGTCTTACACAATTGGCTGTATTTAGTAAATCAACAATTGTGGAAAACTGACAAGGCAATGGCAAATTTTAGCCCCAAATAGTTAACCTAGTAAAAAAAAAAAAATCTCCCACTCAGGTATATTGGCCTTTATAAGCAATTCTCCACAATATCCGTGAATAAATACCATAGTCTGGATAATGAACCTTAGAGTGCTTTATTGCATGGATATCAAAGAAATGTTAGTGATAAATTAATCACAATATTGCATCCACAAATATTTTCATTTTGCCCTTGTAACACTTTTTTCTCTCCAAGGAGTTATGGAATAACACTTAAAAGAGTTAATTAGATTGGGGACTAACGAGTGGTAGTTTTAAAGCTGTGGACCAGTGTTCTCCTGCACTGAGAATCCCCAGCTTGTTGTGAACTGAAGTTTTGGTCGTAATAAAAGATGTATAAAAAAAACTGCCAATCCATTCAGGTTTTAGGAAAATATTGCTAAAATACAGACACCAAATCGCCAGAGCGTAGTTTGGGTCCAGTAGAGACCTGGAGGTGGCAGAACGTTCAGTCCGCAATATTTACATATTTTACAAAGGAAAAAAATTAAAAAAAATGCAAACCAGTTTTGAGAAGAATTAAAATAATTTCTGTTCTACAAATATTTTTTTTTTCATTTAGCAAAATATACATTTGTCTTGTTCTTGTGCATTGCCACCCCAAATCTGTTTTACAGTTCTTAAAAGCCAAAATTTACATAAAATAAAAAAAACAAAAAATAGAATCACATTCTCATACAGTCGGGGCAAATAATATCTCCTCCCCTCCCTCCAGCAGTTTGTACCAATGTTTCCCTGCTTCCTAGCTGAACAAAAATATCTAAAGTCACAGGAATGTTTTTCAATGACAACGAAACAAAACACAAAACTATAGGGTAAAAAAAGATAAAAGAAAATAAACAAAAAACAAATAAATAAAAATTCATAGAATGGAAGGAAAAGTTATTCAGGAGGCACCAGTTACTCTGCAGGAACACAAAGTGATGTGAGGCCATCTGACAATCTGAGGGGAGGAACAAAGTCATGGGTAGGAGAAGCTGACAAATCCAAACCTGTGAATAAAACATAAGGTTTATTTAGTCATGTAATCACATACATACTTACATTCTATAGAACTACAGGTTTCTGTACAATAACAACCCACTGACAATTTGACAGCAATAATCTCATTACAAGTGTTTTGAAGTCATCAATTTTTTTTACTTCTTTAGTATTACATCACTTACAGTCAAATTGCAGATGGCAATCACACATAATATCTGCTAATATCACTAGTCTTTTGAGAATACAAGCCCTCAATGCACTTGGATAGGTGATTAGAAGCATACTGGAGTGTAGAGTACAGCATAATTAAAGGGACACCCAAATTCTCTAATGCACGTTAGCTTGCTGAGTAGCTTTATGTGTGTCCTCTTTTTATTTTTTCCATTTTACAAATAATGCAGATTTCAACAGAAATTGGCATTTTTGTAAATTGACCTTGTTACTCCACCACCACATGCAATCAAACAACAGGCCCTTCAAGAGGCGGGCAATTGCCTTGCAAAGACTTTTCATTGAGTTGCAGTGGGAAGTCTGTTATTGGATTGCCACATTAAGTCTGGGCCAGGTTAAAAAAGCAGGGCTTGCAATGCTTTTAAAGATCTTTACAGCTTTTGCCATCTGTTTTTAGACATACCCCCAAACAAAAAAAAAATCATAAATAAATGCATGCATAGTTTCATTGGAAGTATATCTACAAAACAGTGATTTTTATTTTGTTTTGTATTTGGGCAGTGGTGTGTCCCTTTAAGTATAAAATATATCTCTACATCACTTCTAGGTCCAGTGCCAACACCTTCCCGTGATGCTCTAGATGCATTCATGCACATTTGGGCATTCCTTCCATTATGCCTTACAAGCGCTCCCTTTGCAACACCATCGAAGTCAAGCTCTGTGGGTGGATGCATGCATACTTGGGCATTTCTTCCATAGAGATGAACTGAAGGCTCTGGCTGTGCTGGTATAGACTGGCATAAATGTAAAGCAAAACATTTGGCTTGCTTCTATGAAATAGCACAAATTAACGAGTAGTTGCTCTTTGACAAATAGGTACATAAATGTAATTGTCTGACTTGTATCAATGAAGTATTTGTCCAGTTACTTATACTTTGTCTTCTTTCCAGCCAAAACACCACTAATACAAAGTCAATCTTTAGAGTGATGTGCCAAGATATCACAGAAACTGTACACACAGAACTGGTCAAAAAGAGTGAAAACAATACAATTTGTGGTTCAAAGAAACAGAAAAGTATAGAAAGTACAAACCTGAAATTAGTAACAATTACTACATTATACTACAATATATTTAAAGGGATACTGTAAGCACTATCTCCATGTCATCTTATTAAATTAGTTATAGTCCTATAGTCCTTCCGTTTAAAAATTTCAAGTTATTCAAAAGGTCACGTGTGGTTGGAGGGGTGAAGATTTCATCAAAAGGATGGGAGAGGTGGAGATGAGATGGATTTTTTTTTTTTTTGAAAACTTAATTCACAACTGAATTAATAATGATTTTGAGCTCTGTCATTTTTTTTTTTTTTTTTTAAAGAAGGTAATAAAAAGAATCAAGTATAATTATTATAATTCCCCCCCTCTCTCGCCTATATCTGTTCCATCTCATTTAGCACATTGTTTCACTTTTACACTTGTTCTGTATAAAGGTTGAGCTTGTGCACTCTTATTTATTTATTTTTTTATAATTCTTTATTTTTGTTGTGCTGGGTAGTAACAGAAATAAGCCAATATACATTATGTAGATTGCAATGAGGTAACATGTCTAGTTAGAATAAATGTATACTCATGTCTGCACATTTATTTATTTTTTAAAAGACAAATGAAGTAGAGGAACACAGTGCAAACTGGATAACACGTTATGGCATTGAATAAACAGGCTGTGTGCCTAAGATTAAACTCAATAGGGTAGATAGTGTTAGATGAAAAGTTAACATGCTATGTGAATAAAGTTAGCCCCAATATGGCATAAAGAGTTAAGTACGGAAGGATAACAGCGCTCTACTTGATAGATTAGGCCCCTAGGTTGTACTTCTTTTTTTATTTTAAATAAGATAAGAAAATCAAAATAAAATAATAGCTTAACTGAGGCACAATTATATTCTTGGAGTTTGAGAATAGGGGAGAGCTGTTTAGTAGAGATCTAGTTGATATGCAAAGATACTTGTGAATACACAGGTGAGGTGCTGAGTACCAGTGACTAATAGCGTCCCCCAGCTCCCTAGAGTAGGCTTAGAAAGACCTCAGTGCAGAGCACAGAATCAGCTATGTAAAGGCTACATATAAAGCATCTATACCCAGGTCTTTAATTCAGTTTCCTGCAAACTTGTCACAAAAATAAGCAGAGCAGTTTACTTGTGTAAGGGTATGCTAACCTATGTCCACTTATATAATTTAAAAGCAAAATAAATCTAAGTACCGGTAAATGTATAAACAAAAGCAACAAACAGGAAGAGTCCACTGGGTCTTCAAGAGGCAGACCGCCGCAAGCCCACAGGCAGTGTCACGTTATAGCTGCTGAAGGTATGGCGACCGGCTCACCCGCTATCGTAGCTTTGATCTACACCTGTTGCCTGCCCAGCTGTGTGTAGTGCTGGTAAAGTCTTGGCAGGTTGGTGCGCAGGAGGGATCCACTCCACCAGCCCTAGGCATTACATGGGCAAGCGTTCTGTGCCCTCTGTACTGGTTTCCTGATGGGCCAGCATTGGAGGTCCCAGACGAGATGGTCCATTTGGATACAGGGCTGTGATGGGAGTCAGTGGTGTACTAAGGGGGGGCGGTCCGCCCCGGGTGCCACCAGGGTGGGGGGTACCATGACCCTGGTCTGGGAGCTGGAGGGGGCTGTGTGAGCTCTATGGCCGCACAGTTACCAATGGTATTTAGGGTGCCGGGCGGCCAGAACAGCTCACACACGCAAAGAGCAGCTGAACTGGCCGCAAGGAGGTAAAGTGGGGACGGGGCTAAGCAAAATCGGGGCAGAGCCAAATAGGCAGCTGGGGCGGGGCTTAATACGGCCATTACCCGCTGCTGTTACTGCTGCACATGGAGGTGCAGCAAGATGGAATCTCTGCTTCTCCACAGGCTTCAGGGAAGGACTTCAGGGAATCCAGTCCTCCTCCAGCCCACTGTCTGTAAGTAAGAGTGTGTGACTGTGTGTGTGTGTGTGTGTAAAACTGTTTGTCTGTAACTGTGTGTGTAACTGTCTGCCTGTAACTTTGTGTGTGTGTGTGTGTGTGTGTGTAAAACTGTCTGCCTGTAACTGTGTGTGTGTGAGAGACTGCCTGTAACTGTGTGTGTAACTTTCTGCAACTTTGTGTGTGTGTGTGTGTGTGTGACTGTCTGCCTGTAACTGTGTGTGTGACTGTCTTCCTGTAACTGTGTGTGTGTGTGTGTGTGTCTGCCTGTAAGTGTATGTGTGTGTAACTCTCTGCCTGTGACTGTGTGTGTGAGTGACTGCATATGTGACTGTCTGTCTGTAACTGTGTGCGTGACTGTCTGGCTAGGACTGTGTGTGACTACCTGTAACTGACTGTGTGTGTAACTGTCTGCCTATAACTGTGTGTGTGACTGTATGTGACTATGTATGTGTGACTGTCTGCCTGTGACTGTTTGATGTTGCCTGTAACAGTGTGTGTGACTCTCTGCTGCTGCCGTGTGTGTGTCAATGTATATATGACTGTCTGCCTATAACTGTGTTTGTGACTGTCTGTGACTGTAAATGTGACTGTGTGCCTGTAACTGTGTGTGTGTGTGTGTGTGTGACTGCCTGTAAGTGTGTGTGTAACTCTCTGCCTGTGACTGTGTGTGTGAGTGACTGTATATGTGACTGTCTGTTTGTAACTGTGTGCGTGACTACCTGTAACTTTGTGTGTGTGTAACTGTCTGCCTATAACTGTGTGTGTGACTGCATGTTACTATGTATGTGTGACTGTCTACCTGTGACTGTTTGATGTTGCCTGTAACCATGTGTGTGACTATCTGTCTGTGACTGTGTGCATGTGACTGTCTGCTACTGCCGTGTGTGTGTGTCAATGTATATGTGACTGTCTGCCTGTAACTGTGTGCATGACTGTCTGTGACTGTGTGCGTGATTGTCTGCCTGTTAATGTGTGTGTGGGGCTGCAGGGATTTTGTAGAAGGGGGCAGGGGTTTTGTATTGGGACAGGAGACTTTATAAGGGGGGATTTGTAGACGGGGCAGTACAAGATTTGTAGAAGGGGGCAGGACAGGGGTTTTGTAGGAGGGGGCGGGGCAGGACAAGGGTTTTGTAGGAGGGGCTGACAGCGGCTTTGCAAAGTTTACAAATTGTAAAAAAAAAAAAAGAAAAGGAAACATTTAAAATTAAGCACGGGTGCCAAATGCTCTAGGTACGCCCCTGATGGGAGTAATGTCCACGCAGGGCGTAAGGCCCAGGAAGGCAGCCGTGGGACACATACCCGACCACGAGTTGTGGAGGCTCGGGCAGCCAGCTGCCTACTTCTGCTTGCTGATGTCACAGTCCAGTCCAGGCATGTGAGCTGTGGCCAGCAAACCACACCACTGTGGAAGCAGCTAAGTCAGGTTAAACTCTTTAGGGCTAGTGCTGTAGGTGTCGGATCCCTCCAGTGGGGACCGGGATGACCCCCGTCAGTCCAAAAGGGGGGTGGGAGAGTGGCGGGACCTTTGAGGCGTGGCCGGTCATCCTAGGCTATTCGTTGAACACTTTTCTTCCTGGCTACCCTACTTTCTCTCCTCTAGCACTCCCTCATACTTGGGGATTTTAACATCCCAATCAACAACCTCAACTGCCCTGAAGCCTCCTGTCTCCTCTCTATAACCTCCTCTTTGGCCTCACGCAGTTGTCAACTTCAGCAACTCATATAGCAGGAAAGACTCTTGACCTCATTTTCACCAATCTCTGTACCACCTCTAATCTCTCCACTGTTCCATTTCCCTTGTCTGACAACCATCTGCTAACATTTGACATGACAGCATACCCCGTACCCAAAATTTCACCACCCTCAACTCTCCAATCTCACAGAAACCTCAACTGCTTTGATCTCCAGCATTTCTCCACCAAACTCCAAACTCTCCTTTTATCCATCTCCAAATCTAACTTGCCCTAACTCCAACCTCACTCTACAACTCAACTCGACATCATGGCACCTCCTACAATTAAATGCAGCAAGTGCCCCCAATTACAACCCTGGCACACCAAGCTGACCCGTTACCTCCAAAAATGTTCGAGAACTGTTGAACGCTGCTGGAGAAAGTCTCACTTTGCATCTGACTTCCTCCATTCTAAATTTATGCTGCGCTCCTAGAGCCTGGCTCTTTCCGCTGCAAAAGTAAATTACTTTAACACCCTCTAAAGTACACTGTCCCATCAACCCAAACACCTATTTCACACTTTTGATGCTCTTCTTCGCCCTTTTACCCCCTCCTTCTAACACCTTGTCCGACACAAACTTTGCATCTCACTTCACTGAGAAGATCTCTACAATCAGAGAAGAGATTGTTAATTTCTCTCCTTTCCCTACCAATACATCACCCAACCCCATTCCCTCCACCATTCTACACTCAATCGCACCTGCTACAGCAGAAGAGCAAAAGATGTTTCTGTTCTGCTCCGCTCCTCCCACCCCACGATCTGTTCCCTCGATCCTATTCCCTCATATCTCATCCACACCGTCTCCCTCTCTTGCTCTTCACCTAACTAAAATTTTCAATCTCTCCCTTTCCTCTGGCACATTTCCCTCACCCTTCAAAAATGCAACTGTAACTCCAATTTTGAAAAAGCCAAGCCTTGACCCCAACTCCCCATACAACTACCGCCCTATCTCGCTACTGCCATTTGCCTCCAAGATCCTTGAGAGAGTTGTGTACACCAAATGACTGACTTTCTCAAATCCAACTCTCTGCTTGACCCCCTTCAGTCTTGATTCCACACTGGTCATTCTGTCGAAACGGATGTGACCAAAGTAACCAACGATTTAATTGCTGTTAAATCTCGCGGCCATTACTCTATCCTAATTCTCCTTGATCTTTCTGCTGCCTTTGACACTGTTGATCATCAACAGCTTCTTCGCATTCTCCGTAATTTTGGTCTACGGGACACTGCTTTCTGCTGGTGCTCTTCCTACCTCTCCCAGCGCTCTTTCAGTGTTTCATTCTTGGACTCTGCCTCTTTCCCCCCAACCACTCTCTGTTGGCGTCCCCCAAGGTTCTGTCCTTGGTCCCCTACTGCCTCCCTTGGTAAACTCATCAGCTCCTGTTATAATTTCTATGCAGATGACACGCAAATCCACCTGTCCTCTCCTGATCTCTCTCCGCCCGTCTTGACTCGTGTCTCTGACTGCCTCTCTTCGATCTCTAATTGGATGGCTGCTCAATTCCTTAAACTCAACCTGTCCAAAACAGAATGTCTGGTCTTTCCTCCCTCAAGTGTTACTACTTCCATGTTTGTCTCCCTCCAAGTAAACGGCGCTACCATCACCTCTACCTTGTAGACTCGTTGCCTGGGTGTTCTTTTTGACTGCAACCTCTCCTTCACCCCTCATGTCCAATCAACTGCCAAATCTTATCGCTTCCATCTTAAAAACATAGCGCGTATTCGCCATATTTAACCACGGATGTGGGTAAGGTGCTGGTCCATGCTCTTGTTCTCTCTCACCTTGACTACTGCAATACCCTTCTCAGTGGTCTTACGTCTTCCCAGACTGCACCTCTGCAATCTATAATGAAAGTGGCAGTGAGGCTCATTTTCCTTTCCGCTCGCACCTCCCACGCCTCCCTACTCTGTCAGTCCCTGCATTGGCTTCTAGTTAGATATAGGGGTCAATTTAAAATTCTGGTGCTTTCTTACAAGTCCCTACATAATGCTGCTCTAACCTACCTATCCTCCCTAATACACAAGTATGTCCAGTTGTGGCTCCTACGTTCTGCCAAAGACCTACGTATATCCTCTGTCCGTACTCCCACCGCTAATACTCGCCTCCAAGATTTCTCCAGGGCTGCACCTCTTTTGTGGAACTCCCTTCCCTTCTCCGTAAGACTTTCACCCAGTCTCCACTCATTCAAAAAAAAAAAAAATCCTCTCCTGCAACTGTCACAAATCACCTACTAAGCACTCAAGGAAAACTTTTCTAACAACCTACTTCATACCCCTACTTTTATCCTTTGTGTCACTATACCTCACTCCCTCTAGAATGTAAGCTCATTGAGCAGGGCCCAATTACATGTCTGTTAGTCCACCCATTGTACAGCGCTACGGAATCTGATGGCGCTTTATAAATAATAAAATAATAATAATCTTGGAGTGTTTTAGATCTTGGCAGTCCTTACAAGACTGGAGAGTCGACCTTCCCAATAGCAATCTTTCAGGTTGCTGCACATGTAGGCGCTGGCCGCTGGGGCAATAAACTCTTACCACATTGGAGGGGTCAACTCATGACAGGTCTGATCCGTCATCATTCGGGGGCTTGGAAATGCCCAACTACCTAAGCGCTCTGTTCAGAGTGCCGAGGCATGAGAACAGGAGCAGTTTGGGTAGTCCCCATCTATATTGTATATTCCCTGAGAAAAGTAGTTTTAGGAAAGGCTGTAGTGTTCTTCAACACGCGATGGTGCTCCTAGTGAGGTCTGAAAATAGGGACAGTGTTGATCCATCAAACAGTAAGGGGCTCTTCCCTCAAGCTGCGGCCATAAGGAGGGCCCTGTCTTGCAAGCATTGGAATCTGACGATTAGATCAGCGTGTGCAGCTGGCAGTGCCATCGATGGTTTCAGCAGTTGGAATATGCTATCAAGTTTTATAGCTTTGGCTTGTTTAGGTGGCAACAGGGCGTGAAGCAGTTGTCAGACAAGATGTGGTACGGGTATAACGCCTCTGCTGGTCTTCTAGAGCATCAACTCTGTCGTTGGTGGCAAGTTGTTGTCTGTGGAGTTCCTCTATTTTATGCTCCACATTAGTTCACCTGGTGTTTTGTGTGCTGGCCGTTGCCTCCAGATGGGCGATGTGAGAGGTGGCGCCCTTGAAGAAAGCTATGTTGGCTGCAATGTTAGTTCATAGCACTACCAGCATGCCTCTTATCTGGACTACTGTGACAGGCTTTTCAGTACTTGGTTGTTTGGGTTTGGGTCCTGGCAGCAGGTCTTGCGATGCCCACTCTCCGAGGAGTAGGAAGATCTCTCTTCTACCTTTCGCCATCTTGTCCCAAAACGTGTTTGCCCCTTCTGCATGTCATCTGACTCCACCATTGCCGTAGTCATACTGGATCTTTAGGTGGAAGCCCAGAAGGAAGATCAGACGATCCCCGTCAGAGGTAAGAGTGAATGGGACACAGGTAAGTCCAAGTTGGGGACATCCAGGGTGCTGCCAGGCGTGTGAGGGCCTTCATCTTTATTCCATGGACTCCGGAACTGCGAGGGGTCAAGTCCCTACACTGCCCAGGCTAAGCTGAGGGTCCAGGTGGTGAGCACTGTTTCCTGCGGGTATGCCTTCGCTTCTGTGGGTGATACTTGGAGGTGCTGCCTCAAGGGGCTCTTGGCTCAGGTGGGCGAGCTGTAGGATGGGTACATGCTTGCATAAGGATTCCCAGCCAGAACCGTTCAAATATGGGGCTGCAAATCTGATTCAGCCATGTGACAGTGAGGCTATTGGTGTGGAAGTAGGACCATCATGTCTGGAAAAGGGTCAGTTAACATCTTGAGTGTCTAGGGTTTAATGCCAAAAGTGGTCACCTTGGTTATTTCTTGGGTGAAGTTGGGGTGGGCAACATCTGCGTGTCCAGTGGGGACCAGGATTTACCCCCACCGTTTCAAGTGGGGAGGGGGGTGGAGTGCAGTGATGCCGAGTGTCTGAGAGTGACTGCCTCTTCCCTGCTTGGGCCCACGTAGGCTATAGCATCCCAAAATTGGCTTAATGTGCAGGAGCTCATGTGAAACACATCTGCCCTGCATGGGAGTAAGACTCCCCCCCCCCTGTAATTTTTACGAGGATATATTTTATAATGATCAATTTATGCATCTGATAATTACTAATTGAAGTGTGATTTCACGCCTGTAAAATTATTAATTTAAGTGTGATTTTCTTCTCCCTTTTATATTTAGTGAGACAGTTGGTTTAAATTTATTTTGATGGACAATATATTTTGGTCTCATGTATGCAGTTGAGGGAGAGAGTTGGGTCAGACCCCCAGTCACTAAGGAGGGTACCCAGGTTGGCGACTCATAGAGATGTGCTGTTGCTGGGTCTTCAGGGCTTAGAGGCTGATCCCTGGCAGGGCAATACAAATATTGGCCTGGTGAGCATAAAAGAAAAATCTGGGGGGGCGTGGCCTGACCAAGGATGGAGTGAGACGCACGGTGCCTGTGCTCCTAGGCCTCACCCTGTATAGCCCGTAATATATAGCTTCCAGACTTGTACAAATCCTACTAAGATGGGGAAAACTAAGCGGGCTCTCAGTGCTGGACAGCCCGGTGGGGCTCTGCTGCGGTCCCAGACCGGCCCGATGGATGAATACCTTGCAGGGCCGCAGGGCCTGTCGGACGCCATTGATATGCCGATTCCCGCCTCACCCGGCTCAAGCTTGGCTGGCTCATCCCGTGGCACTAATGAGCCGGCTGCCCTATCCCAAATCTCGCTGGATATCGCTGCCATCTCTTCCAGCATGCTCACCAGGCGAGACAAGTCTGAAATGGTGGCCGAGCTGCGGGCGGTGATCAGGGAGGAGATTGCCGCTGTGCGTGCGGATCTCACCGCCCTGGAGCACCGCGTGGATGCCCTGGATGCCGAGCACCTTCAGATCACCCACCGGCAGCAGGCCGCGGACCTGGCGACCACCAGGCAGGGGAACCTGCTCCTAGACCTCCGCCGGCAGGTCGAAGACCTCGACAATAGGGGCTGCTGGAGGCCGAAGGGGAGCTGCCCCACGAGCTACTTACCGGCCTGTTCTCGCACCTGATGGGGGAGGCAGCGCTGGATGACTTTGGTATTGAGCGGGCGCATAGGGCTCTGCGGGCACCCCGGCGTGATGGGTTGCCGAGGGACTTGATTTGCGCCCTGACGTCCTTCCCGCTCAAGGAAGAGCTGATGAAGGCCACGCGTTCCCGCCCTGATCTCCGCTATATGGATGCCCCTGTGGCCTTGTACCACGATTTGTCGCAGACCACTCTGGATGCCCGGCGGGCCTTGCGGCCGCTTACCCGCCTGCTCCAAGAAAGAAGAATCCCATACAAGTGGGGATTCCCCTTTAGCCTGCAGGCCCGGGTGGGCAACATGTGGCATGTGCTCCAGTGGCCCAATGATGTCCCCCGGTTCCTCCGGAATGCTGGCCTTCCTCATATCGCTATCCCTAATTAGATCCTGGGGGGGCCCCCGGCTCGTGCTGTGGGCCCCGAGGAGGCTGCACATAACCTTCATCCGGATCCTGAGCTACCAAGACGCAGAGGGGGGCCGAATGGCCCAGAAGAGTAGCGGCTACCTGTTACGCCCTGGTGGCGGTCCCCCGGGGGCTGCCGGATCAGACAGGACTCCCATCGGACCTCAGCCTCTAAGTGGCGGGACTTATGGCTGCCCGGTTGCGAAGTTGGGGCCTCCCTACCCAGGGTATGTACTGTGGTGGACAGTGCTATAAAGAAGTTAGCTGCCTGGAGGAGGGCTTGTAGTTAGGTGGGGTGGAAAGGGTTCCAGGGGTTTGGAGGTAGTAGCGGGAAGATTCCGGGTGGGTTCCACCGCAGGTGGGGAGGGTAGGGGGGTATGTGCTGGACTGGGCTGTGGGGCTGGTGGGGACTGGCTGAAGACGATGGCTCTGAGGGACAAATTTGTACTCTCCCCCCTTTTTTCCCTCTCTCCTCTCTTTATGCCTGCCTGCAGTGGGGGGGACTCAGGTGGGTGCTCGGGTGTGCAGTGCATAGCTATGCTGCCGGTTTGGGGGTCTGGGGAGGTAGTGGTGCCATCTCCCGGCGGTTCTCATCTCTGTTCCTTACACGCTTGGGTCATCCAAGGTGGCTGCAGAGGTAGGGGTATTTTGCGATGGGGGGGGGGGGTATTGGAGCGGGTGCGGGGCAGGCTGCTGCGAGGTGGGGGTGGCTGCTGGGGTTTAGACGGGGAGGAGGGGGAATGAGGGAGGGGGATGTTTCCCGTAGTCCTCGCGGGAGGGGGGAGAGAGAGATCCGTACCTTGGCAGACCCTGGATAAGGCAGCGGGACGCGGGCTGATGCTAGCTCGGGAGTTTTAGTCACACACGAAGGGGGGCCCCACCTCGCCCGCAGGAAGGCTCCAGGCATGAAATGGGCATCCTACCCTTGTGCGGTCACCTAGGCACTGGTTGGGTATGTGGGCGCTCCCTGGGGACCCGGGGTAGTGAGGAGACTTTCGGAGAGGGGCAGGGGGCTAGAGGGGGGAGTCCTTTTAGCTTAATCTATTACTGTCAAAAGGGGGGAGGGGCGGGGACCCGAGAAGGTTGGTTGCACCACGGTGGGGCGGGCTGGGGTCGGGTGGGGGCTCCATAAGCCGCCAGAGGGCTGTTAGGTGGGGCAGTTCACATGGTTTCCCCCAGTTATTTGTGTTTTAGCTTCTGGATACTTGCACGTAAGACACACAGGGTGACAGGCAGACGGACACTGAGGCAGTTACGACCACTACATTCCACAGAAACGCCAAGACAGTGACGGGCCTTTTTGTTCCCTACTGTGACAGACCCGCACTGTAAATAGAGCCAGGGCCGGGGCGGGGGCGCTCCGCCGTTGCAACGATGGCACCCGGTCGGGGCTTCGTTCCGGCGCGGCTGACTTATTGGTCTAACAACGTTCATGGGCTTAACATGCCTGAAAAACGATCACAGTTGCTACGGCAGCTCTGGGCCGCAAAAGCATCCGTGGCGTTCCTGCAAGAGATGCACTTCAAAGGGGGGGATGCGCCTAAACTGGAGAATCGGCGATTCCCGTTGGGATTTTACGCTAATCACCAAACCGCCAAAAAGGTGGGGGTGGCTATACTCTTTGCCCAGACGACGCCTTTCCTCCATTTGGCGTCCCAACTGGATCCGATGGGGAGATACCTATTCTTAAAGGGCACCATAGCGGATCATGCGTATACCTTCGCTTGCATATACTGCCCAAATAGGGGTCAGCACACCTTCCTCTCCCGAACACTGGCCAAACTAGAGAGATTCCGAGAGGGCCTTCTGGTCCTTGGCGGCGACCTCAATGTCCCGCTGGACCCCCGGCTGGACACTTCCAGGGGCATGACTGCGGTCTCGGCTGCTAGTATCCGGCTGTCCCAGCGTGCCCTGCACAAAGCTGGTTTGGTAGATTGTTGGAGGGCCTGCAATCCGGAGGGGAGAGACTATACCCATTACTCTGCAGTGCACGCACAATACAGCCGTATCGACTATATCTTCCTGGCACAAGAATTTTTAAACCTCCTGCAGGGAGCGGAAATAAGCATCATAAGCCACTCGGATCATGCACCGGTCCTGGTTCATACCAGTTCCCCGCTTTATAAGCCCAGTGAACGACAATGGAAGCTCAATGAAACTATGCTGGATGATTTGGTACTCACGCAGTCCGCGACCCGTACCTTGTCAGATTACTTCACCACCAACGATACCGCTGATACGACTCCGCTAGGGCTTTAGGAGGCGCACAAATGCGTCATCCAGGGCTTCTTCATCTCCGAGAGCACCAGACGCAAAAAGGACAGACGAGCTCGCATTTCCAGCCTGACCACGCGTATTGCAGATTTAGAAGGAACTCATAAGCAATCCCTAGATGAGGGCACTTATCTCCAACTGGTGGAGGCACGTAGGGACTTGCAAAAGATTCTGTCGCAGGGGCTGCTGCTCACCGCTAGGAAGGCCTCTAGGTACTTCTACGAACACTCCAATAAGTGCGGGAGACTGTTAGCTCGGATGCTCCGTGAAAAGCGCAGGATGCAACATGTCCATAAAATACGCACGGGGAATGGGGATACTACACGGAACTGATGCCCCTCACACGAGACCCTGCACTTCGTAGACAAATCCAGGCGCACTTCCCCTTCCGGATTTGCTTGAACAAACTGCGGTACCTGGGCATCTGGATAACGTGTGACCTAGCTCAAGCCTATTCCATGAATTTTGTCCCCTTACTCACAACCCTCCAACAAGATATGAAGCGCTGGGCTCCCCAATATATATATCTTGGTTTGGACGCATAAATGCCAGGCGGGGGGAGGTAAAATACCGTCTCAGCTGTGGCTGGGAGATGCCACGTTTCAGGAACTGCGAACGGGCAACCCGTTGGTGGATGCAACTCTGAAGGTCTGGTGTGGCGTCCGGTTCTCTCAACAACTCACGTCATCGCCAAATCCACTTATGCCCGTGACGCATAACCCAAGACTTGCAGGTGGACTCTCCCCAGGTGATCTGAGGAACTTTGGGGCCACGGATTGGACCTACCTGCATCAATGGTGTAATGGTCCGAACCTTAAACCGCTGGCCACGCTACTCCAAGACCGCAGATCCAGCGGTCTGGACAACTTCCGGTACTATCAGCTCACAGCCTATGTAACCTCGCTAACTGGGAAGGCGCACCTCCACCGCCCACTGTCCCACTTCGAACAAATCTGTGTCGCCAGACAGCATCTCATCCATGGCATAGCGCAACTCTACTCCATGCTGCAGAGTGGTGGGGACCAGTCCCCTTTGGGGTTCACGGTACGGTGGGAGAGGGATGCAGGGGTCGAGCTATCTACCTCTGAATGGCAAAAGATCTTCCAATTGACGCACGGGGGACCATCTGTTCCAAATTCCAGGAGTGCAACTACAAGATACTGGCGCGTTGGTATAGAATTCCGGACATCCTTCATCATGTCCATGAGTCCATCTCAGGGGAGTGCTGGAGGTGTGGAGATGCGGATGGTTCTGGGATCCATATCTGGTGGTCGTGCCCTCGCATTGAACCTTTCTGAAGAGCGATACACAAAGGGATTAAAGACGTTACTGGGACAGACATCCCTTTCTAGCCGCTGCCGATGCTACTGAACCACACGAGCATGCCTATTACCGCCTACAAGAGGGGCCTGGTGATACACCTTCTTACGGCAGCAAAATCTCTCATCCCCACGTTATGGAGAAGTCAGGTAGCCCCTTTCACTCCGCCAATGGATTGATAGGGTGGAAATGATTTACAACATGGAACTGATGACTGCGTCTCTGCAGGGACGCTCGGATAAATGTGCGCTCACATGGTTTCCTTGGACGGAGTATACGGCCAGGGGGGCCGCGGGGGGAGCCCGGTCCGGGGAAGGTGGTGCTCCCGCACCGGCACGGCTTTGCCCACCCACAACGAACTGACTGAGACCCGTAGTGCCTTTCTGTTTGGAGGGTGGCGCACTTTCCTATCCATATGACTACAACTTCCCTTCCCATTCCCCTCCATACTTCCCAGACAGACGACACACGGAGGCACTTACCCGAGAGGAGGCTCACAGGTTCACTCACCCCCTAACCTAGCATTCAGAGTGTTTGGGGAATGGGGCTGGGAGTACAGAGCAATGACTGGAGCTAGTCCACGGCGGCACAGGGGGATAGCGGGTTGGTGGGGCTCTTGAACATCTTAGGAGCGGGTTGGTGCTGTACAGGTCGGAGGGGGTTGGAATGGAGGGCTGGAGGTTAACAAGGCCTCTGGGTTGTACGGGGGGAGGTCCTCTGGCGCTTTCAGTCTCACGCACTTGGTTCGCCCCGGGCCTCAGACTCAATAAATACGGTGGCACCTGATTTGACCCCTAGGGGGCTCCGGCTACTTACGTTAGGGGAGGAGAGAGGGCACGGAGGCCTCGGAGGGCACCCTACAGCTGGATGACCTCGCACACGAACCACTGCTCCAGCGTAGGGGGTCAGGGGCTACCGGTATGACATTGGGCCATGGGCTAACCCATTAGGGGGCCACCTAGAATATGGTGGCAGAGGCTACATGCAGTTTAGAATGCCCGTTCACGAGGTAGCATGGAAAGCCGCATTCCCCATGCCCCACTTGGCGCAAGAGTCCCAGGTGTCCCCCGGTGGTCCCGGGATTGCGGCCCCGGTTGTCGCTCAGATGTATCTGCACTGTTCTAGCTTTATTCTTTTGCTAAGACACCATCAAATATCCAGCTGTATTGGCGGCTTCTCTGGAGTGTGGTGTCCTTCCTTCCTTGCCTATGTAAAGGTTGCTAAACATGTTTGAATGTGTGTGTTGAACTAAACGTGCTGTATTAAATAAATGGAAAAATAAAGATTGTCAAAAAAAAAAAAAAGAAAGAAAAATCTGCTTAAGAAGACTCCTTCAAAACGGCTGTGAAGGACAGGAAAAAAAGACTGTCTATTGGAGAGGGGATGGATCTACTTATACCAATTTCAGAGTTCTATTTCCTGTCCTTCCTGATGTGAGGGGAGGAGCTAACCCATGAGTAAATGCTGCCATGTATGATCTGGAAATTTTGATGGATTATTTATTTGAATGACCCATGAATGTCAGGTAACCACCACATAGGTTCCATCCCAGGCTGCCAGAACAAATGGGACTACATTAGCAGGATCCAAATCTGTGATCGCTTATAGAGAGATGCAGCCCAGGCTTAGTGTAGTTAGGATGCTGTCCATCTCCTAAACATTGGACACTTGGTGCTCTGCATTTTGGTGTTGAATTAGAAGCAAGCGGGGGGATCCCCACCGGTACTTTATGCTCTTAGTAGACAGTGTAGTAGTCAGGGGATGAACGGAGTTCCTCCACTGTAAAGTTGCGCATGAGAGGTCGGAGAAAAGGGTAAGGTCAATTTCTTCAACATAGTACGGGGTCTTTCTCCTGGTTGCACCCATAAATGCTACTTTGTCTTGACCATTCTGGAATTTGATCAATAGATCACTGGTGGCTGAAGCCTGTGTCTGTTGTGGTTTAGGAAGGTAAAACATTCCATCGAGCACTATGTCTTTAGTCTGCTTTGGAGGCAGTATGGTCATATAATAATATGTGGCAACCCTGTCGCAGTGATACAGTCCGACAGCCCTCAGATTTTTAGGTGTTTCCACCGCCTCTTATCTTCCATTGCTGTCAATTGGTGGCCCAGGAGAGCTGAGGTGAGCTCACTAACCTGTTTCTGTAGCTCTAGGATTTGAGCAGTGTGTGAAGTTGCGGTCTGCTCTGCTGCATCCATGCACACATTTAACCACTTGACATCCTCCCCGACTTGCGTTATTTTTGCAGATAAGGTTTGAGACTGGAAGGTATTGTAGTAGTGACCAACGGAGATATTCCCACTGTTGGCTGAGGGAGCTTGGGAGGGCCCTTGTATGTCAGGTCCTCCAGGTTATGCAGAGGGTAGTCCGCCACCATTTCAGGCTCAATGCTGCTTTGAGGACTCCGCAGCAGATCTCTGATGTTGGTGGAGAACAGGGGCTGATCCGGACATGTATTTTTTTTGGACAGGCATTCTGCCTGTTGATTGAGCCCCTTAGAAAGCTCAGAATCGAGTGACAGAGCTCCACAGAGCTGTGCCAGTTTTGGTTGAGAGCTAGCTCCGTCCCACCCATCCCCCCGAAGTGTTTATTTTTAATTTTCTCAATTTTTAAGGTTTATATTGCTTTGCTGGTGCATTAGTAAGTTAGTAAATGGAAGTGTTAGTTCTCGTTTTTTCAAAATGGGACTGTTCAAAGAACCTGGTAGTGAACTGACCAAAATAGGCAGGAATGGAAATGAAATACTTACAAGGCAAACTATTGGTTAGGGACGGCATTGGACACCTTTAAATAACCTGGACAAAGATGGAAGCATACACAACACTATGTCCTGACGAAGCTTACAGTGAAATGCGATGCCATATGGTGGGTAGGAACATTGACCCACAAGATTCGTAATAGGCAATTATCTCTCTCTAAAGCTGGGTGGTATTGTGAAAACTGTCTCTGGAGTCTGTGCCGATATACAAATCTGCAGGGGAACTGATATCTTTTTTTACAATCTTAATACAGGAGTGAAAGGATATAACAAGCATTGTTACGTTGACAGAGTGCATTATTTAACGATAATTACTGATAGCGGTAGATTCGTTATAGGAACATTAAACAGTTTACAACACGGGATCTTGTATCTGATCTGTGCCTTAACTTGTCAGCCAAAAGTCCAGACATGGGGCTGTGAGAGCTCGTAATAGGTAGAGCAGTAGTGTGAGTATGTGATATATCATATGACAGTTGTCCGTTTTTTTATGAGTCTGGCTTATCGAGTTTCAGAGAGACCCGTCTGGGTTGGGAAGCTGGGAAATGCTCTGAGGTATGGAAAAGAGGTTGGAGGGTAAAGGAAAGAGAGAGAGAGAGAAGAGAGTAAAAAGAAAAAAAAAAGTAGAGGGTATAGGAAATGGAATTTCAGCCATCTGAGTTCAAGTGGGTAGTCATTGTAGCAGTTGTTGCTTAAAGTGCTGTCGGTAATCTGGTGGTCCAGCCCTTTGTAGATGTCAGTGGTCTATGTGAGTTTATGAGGAGTGTTTTTCAAACTGTCCCCTGGAAAGTGTGGGTGAGGAAACCCGGGCGTCAGGAGGAACGACAGTTCAGAGACTGGATTTGGTAATGTAGTCCAGCCAGGGGAACCAAAATCAAGGCGCATTTGTCAGATCACCTCTTAGGCCTGCATTCAGGGTCTCCATATTGTGTATCTCTTCAACCCTAGCGACTCATTGCTGGAAGATAGGCGCACCCGTCTGGTTTCCATGGCGTCTGGATTACAGATTTTGCTGTTGTAATCAGGTGCACATTAGGGATTATTTACATGATACTATAGGGCTGTCCATGTGGTGTAGGAGCATGGGAAGAGGCTGAAGTGAGAGGTCTGAGCTTGTTATCTCACGGATTTTAGAGTTCACTGTAGCCCAGAATGGGGCAAGACCAGCAGATATGGAGATCCGTGCCCTTGTTCCCCCCGCAGCGCCTGCATACTGCAGGTACCACCGCATTCATGCAGTGTAGGACGTCTGGCATCCTGTTCTTGAGTGTTAAAAAGTTTGAAGCTTAATTATTGGAATTTTAAGCTGATGGAACATTTGTGTGTCAGTATGAAGATTTTGACACAGTCACTCCATCCCACCTTATGGTGAACCCTAGTGGTTGTTTGTCACACCCTGTAAGTAGCATGTTGTAGAGGGTAGAGATCCCTCTGTATAAAAGTTCTCTCGCTGTCTAAAGTCTCTCGAATTGTGTAAGAGGCCTGTGGAACTGTGTTCGCCCAGCTGCGGAGATCTAGTAGGAGCGTATTTAGTGACAGCAGAACCGTCCCATGTAAGTCGGTTGCCTGTCAGGGATTAAGTCTGAAAGAGTCTTAAATTGGGTCGATGAGCACCATTGGTGAATATATATATATATATATATATATATATATATATATACATACACAGCCTGTGACCTGAAAACAACTAGGCCACGTGCAAGGTCCAGGTTGTGTGCTATGGGTGTCAATAGGTTTGTGGATGTGGTGCTTTTTAGTGAATATGAGGTAGAGCGCCAGACCCTAAACGGTGCATTGATCATCGGATTGCCAGTGCGGAGCGTTTCGAACGGGACTCCCCTGAATCAGAGCATGGAAGGAATTTTGCCCTAGGTTTGTTGGGTTTCCATAGTCACCCTGCATATTGTATTTTACTATATATTATTCAGGGTTACTTGTGAGAATTTAACTGAACATAGAGATTTGGTTTGAAATAGCATGGAAGTAGCCCCTGTATAGTGTTATTATATATTATAGTTCCTCTTTTTTTAATATAAATATTGTTTACAGTATTGCACTATTGTATTTTTTGTGTTTTATCTCTATATACGCATTGTACAATTTTCCTGGCAAAGACAATATTATTTGGAATTTGCGTTCTACTTGTTTTATATTTTATTGAATTGGTTATAATGTCTTGAGTCCCCTGGCACTGTCTCTCCATTAAGTGTTAAATAATTTTCCATAATTTTAACACTGAATGAGGATCCCAAGAAGCCCACACCGGAGGTATGGTTAAGGTAGAGATTACACACATATTGCTGCTAGCCATATCGATCTATACCTACAATTGCCACCGTGATAGGCTGAAAGCAGTCAGCTGACAAATTACAGTAGCCATTTGCTGCTCAGACTAATACATTCTCTCTGGGGATGGGCTGCTAGGAATTGTCGTTTAGCATTAAAACATTAAAAATGGTTTAATTCTGAATGGAAGGACAGCGACCACAGGACTCTAGACACTATAACCACTTAAATGAGATGAATCAGTTATGGCCCTTACAGTGCCCATTTATAATAGCAGACGTATGCAAATATTTGCTTTGTCCATAAACAAATTGATTCATCCAAATCAAAACCTTTTTAACACAACCTGAATGAATAGATATGTCCAGGAAATATTTTTTTATTTTTATCCTTCAGGACAAATCGATTAGTTTATGGATGAGACAAATTTTTGCACAAATCTATTTAATAGCACAAAACATAGTATTGCAAACATATTAATAATTGTTTCACGTGGAACATCCCAGAGAAAATAAATAATCACACAGTTACCTCTTCAGTGATCTGCAGTTTCAGTGGTATCCGTTAGTGAAAGCCGTGGCAATCAGAGGACCCTGCAGAACAAATTTGATTGTCAACAAACAATGGAACAAGGTTTCATTCATCATCAACAATATTCAAACAAATAACTGCCTAAATACACTCGTTACATACCCCCACCCACCATATGCATGCACACTCTCTCACTCACTCGCTCTCTATATTTATATATCCCTATCCAACTTATACACACACAATATCGACATACACCACTCCTACATGTGAATGAACTCACACTTACGACCCTACCCAAGTACCTGTTCAGAACCCAATTCTCAGAAATACATACTCACCCCAAGACTATGTCCAAATCCTGTGCTTGGAGCTGGACTCGCTGCACTGATGTAGCTGCTGACTGCTGATTCCTGATTTGCCGCTCCATACAGCTCAGCCATTGGTCCAGGGCTGCTGGTACCCAGAAACCCCCCTGTGCGGGTTGGATTGGAGCCTTGTTTACAAAGAAAATAGATCTTACAGAGAGCCCCCTACACTCATCCTGTTCCCCATAGGAGTGTAAGTAATCTCCCAACAGTCTATACCAGAGGTATTAAAAAAACAGACATCTATTAGCAAACTACAACTCCAATGAAACCATGGCAGCCAAACAAACCAAATGGTTAGTAATGATTTAGGGGCACTGTAGCCTGCTAACAGTTGAAAGTCTTTTATTTCCATATCTAGAATCTATGAACGGCAAACCCTCACTCAGAAATGTCAAGTTTATTATTTTGTATGACAGTATACATACATATTATAGAATAAATTAAATCTAACAATTTTTACACAACATCGAAATGCATAACAATTTTATGATTCTAAAACAATTCAGATTAGTTGATACTTGTTATTAAATGTTATGTGCTCTATTAAACAAAACTACAGAGGTTATAATAGTAGCTCAGATTTCCACACGTTACTACAATATAATCCAGGACAAAAAGATAACTCTCTCCTTGAACATTAAAACAAGTGTGTTTTCAAACAGTTACACATTCCTGGAAACTGTATAAATTAAGCAACAGTGTTAATAAGCAGTCCCTGAGAAAGATCTTGTTATATGTAAATAAAAAAAGATAAGATAAGCGAGCAATACATAAATTAGAGGCATTACCTCTCACGACAGCTGCAGCTGCTGCTGCTACTGGACCATAAGCAGTCAGAGGGATTGCTGAAAAACAGGAGGACATTTTAAGAACACGGCAGAAATATGGGAAACAGCGATAGATTAATAAAGCAGGATACATTTCCAAGTGGACCTTTACTGTGTGCATAACAACACAAACAAAAATAAAAAAACTGCCCAACACAATAGATATACACAGAAATAAGTCTCACTGTACATGATCAATTGGCACAGGCTTGTTCTTATAAAGGACAGGAAGAGTCACAGGTTTATATGTATACTAACAAAATGGATACTAGAAAGCATGACTGGTGGTGTTCGATATTGATTTTAAATACATTGTAAATACAGTTTGTGTTTATTTTGAGGAAAATGCGAATCAAAGAAATAAAGCATGTATTTGCATAAAACACATTTATTTTTATTTTTTTTATTCTGGTCTAAGTGTTGTTTTGGAGGAAAGGCCTTGTTACTGCACTCTAACAAGTGTAAGTATTGTTGTTTATAAGAAATGCAATGTTTACATTTGTCACTAACGATGCCTCTAGTTGTTAACCACTAGCAACTAGATCCGCTTCCTTGTGAATACACACTGCCGCCAATTATTAAAATTCTCCATGTCCGTTTTTTTTTAAAGTGAAGGCCCAACAATCTAAGCATGCACAATCCAACATTGTAAAAAAATATATTTAACATTTAAGTGTATTTTTAATGTACCCTCTATTTTAAATGAAAATTATTGTAAAACTCAGTTTTAAAACCAAGTTACTTGGGTGCAACTCATCTTATATTACACTTAGCAAAAAAAATTTTTAAATAAATAGTTCTCTGCAAATTCAGTCTAGCATTCAGGTTACCTGGACTTGGGCATTGTTTTTCTTAATACCCAAGATAATACATCTCATAATTGATCATTCTATCCTGATCTACCACAACACCCATGTCAAGATATTAAAGTGGAAGACTAACATTTATATTAAAGGGACACTGTAGTCACCAAAATAACTTTAGCTTATGTAATCAGTTTTTGTGTATAGATCATGCCCCATGCAATCTCACTGCTCAGTTCACTTCCATTTAAGAGTTACAGTTGTTTTGGTGACTATGGTGTACCTTTAAGCAAGATTATGAGCTCCCCCCCCCCCCAGTCCTCTGTGTCATGTTTCATGCTCTCTCAATGATGGTTCAAACAATGCCAGGAATTATAGATAATATAAGTAATCATAAGATGATTTGGTTCTGGTGACCTATTACACTAAGTTAGTCTGTTTTTAGCTATATTATTCTAAAACTGTGCAGTTGACAATTATGCCACAGTTGTACCACTCTTCACATGCCCAACTTAAAAAAGACGATAAACAAACTGTTGATGCTATGTTTGGTTATGACCCTTCCCTCCAAACATCAGGTCATAAACATTAGTTTGGTGCATAAATAAGGGAAAACCTAAAAATCCACAAAGGTCTGAAGAGATCCGACAATCCACCTTAAATGCTGCACATTTACCACAGAGCAGGAGAGGATCCCCCTCACCCACCCAGTGTATCTTGTTCTCCTCATTTGAGGTGCAGGAAATCAACTGGACTGACCTGTGAGTTCTGGGAGGACGGGGGCGCCCGGGAGAGGGGTTCTCTCTACACGAAATTCTAAAACGAAATGTGAAACAGCTTAAGAATGGCTGGATGCCCAGCCCACAGGATTGGCTGGCAGTGAGCAGGGAGGAGATGATTAGAACCACCCACTGCCGCCAACATCCAAAGAAAGGTAAACTTAGGCTAACACCCCATCCCTTCACTGAACACACAGATGGACACATACATAGAGTACTAACGTCTTTTGCAACTAAAAATCCACAAATGTTTCATGCTGTGCCTCCATCAGAGGCAAAAAAGGCATGCAGTCAGTACCATGTGTAGAGGTGCGCCAAAGACCTACCTGGGAATTGATAAGTGTATCCTGGAGCAATGCCAGTGTAACTGCGGCTGGCATATGTGGCAGCTTGGAATCCAGGGTATCCTGAAGACAGGAAATACAAAAAAAGTGAATGCTTTGAAACCTAACGTACTGTCACAGTAACATATATTATTCATGAAATCCTTCATACAAGATATAAATATATTTGGGAGTCCAGGCCAACTCCCCAGTTTTGCACCCCTTCCTGTCACAGGTTCCTCATCCCATGGCCCCATTTAACCTTGCTCTGCAGAGAGTCCCAGGAGGAAGCAGTTCCCAAGGAAGTGGATTAATCTCATAAGAGCAGGCATTAGGTTGGTAGAGTAGGACCTGCCAAGAACGGGATACATGGACATTGAGGCAGGCTTATGCAATGAATGATCATATACTGTAACTAAACCCTTATTTTCACTAGCTTCAGGTGTTTATAAAACAACAGTCTGTGAGCTCTGAAATTGCTGTTTAGTGAATGAGTGAGTGTGTACTGGATCTTGCATGTTGTATGAATTAGCCCCATCAACACCCTGATAACGTATGCATGTTCAGGTGAGTGCAGTCCTATAGGTTTCATATATGAAGTGACAACAGTTTCTTTCTAATTAACTTGACATACATCACTTCCTATTGAATAGAACCAAAAATCTTACATATTTTTAACCCCATAAAAGTCAATTTGATGCTCTGCCCTGCCTTTCTTATGCCAAATGAAAAGGATATTCCATGAAGAATAAACATCTCCAAGGACCAGAATGTTATGATGCATGGTTATTATGGAATAAAATTGTATTTTCAGATGGCACAGAGGTCCATCTCCTATTATATTACCCCAAATAACCTATACATTTATGCACACATATTATTATTCTTTCATAGGGAAATCTAACATCAAAATTAGGTCAAGGGGCCTTCATTACATTGAAAGTACCATCACCAGAAACAACCCCATTGATAGTGATCTCATCCACAGGATACTTTCAGAAGAATCCAGTAATAAGTTTAAAAGCGGGATAGTAGAAAAAGAGTTGCTAAAAGCCATGCAATATAATTTTGGAGAAATAAGGAATTAGTCTGTATAGTGGCTGAAGCTAGTGTAGTGTAGGAAACTATTTTTTTTTTTTTTTAAAGAAAGCAGCAATTCATTGTTTGAAAGTGAAAAATCTGTTTTGATTCATACGTGACTAATGGTGTTGTGTCTTCTTTCTAAGACCCTAGTCCGTATGTAGGCATTTATTCTGCTGAGGTGTCACATATGGAGAATGGCAACAAGCTTCACATTCTCAGTAACAAATTGAAAAAAAAAAAAAAAATACTTCCAGAAAAGATTTGGACACACTGAATTCCCAGACCATTTAGAACTAAATATTGAGTACGTATTGTGGTTACTATTTTCATTGTTAAAACTGTGTAAGGCTTTAGTTTTAAAAAATTTATTCCATTACATGCAAACATTCTGTTTTTTTATTTTATTTTTTTATTGCAAAGCCACATATGCTGTTTTTGTTTGGTCCAATTAATCGAACTTCAACTGACTATTGTGTGTTCTGCTACTATACTACCAAGATAAAGAATAAGTCTTGACCTGGGGCTAGTTTCTGAACATGCAATAACCACCTTGGAACAGCAGGTGGAGATCTGACATCAAAATAGCCAACCGCTCACAAATCTAATTAGCTATGCCCTCATACAAGCGACAATCACCTAGCATCCCGATTCCCAGCATGAAGGCGTCCATCCCATATGGCATTACTCGAGACCGACCCCGCACAGAACCAGTTGGTGACATCACCTCCTTCGGCTGTGCCTTCTTACATTCAACCTGCAGATAAAGAATAGTTTTAAGTTACAGACATCAACCCCTCACTCTGGCTGACACACAACACAACAAAAATCACAAAAAAAACACCAAAAGCCTCAACAATCATCCATCTTAACTAACACATTTAGAAAACAAAAACTGGTTAGATCTCACCCCAACAAGTAAACAATCCTGCCTTGGATATCCACTGAAATTGCCTGCATAACCTCAGAATTTGTTGAATTACAATACTTTATCCACATACAGTACATGTGCCAAGCTGTACACTATTGTCAAACTGATAACAAGTTCACAATCAGCTACTAAAACAGCAAGGTATCATTCTTTCTTAGACAAGGTCATAACAGCCCAAATTCTTTAAATTTGATAGTGACAAACACATTTAGCTATATACACATTCTTAAATGAAGACCCAAAAGCACCATAACCACTACAGCTCACTGTAGCATTTATAGAGCCAGGAGTGCCCTGGCACCATCACACTGTTTGATATCTTACCTGTGCCCCTCCAGTTGTCCATACCACATCCACTAAATCAGGTCTTCAAAGCAGGAGAAACAGAATGTCAATTTAGAGCAAAGCACAACCAATCCAGCACTGCAAACATTTACCAAGAGTGTTCAGTTGACTCTCTCAGCCAATGAATGTGGCATCCAGGTTCTACTGCTGGAGAAGACTGGATGCAGCATTGTACCTATGGGGATCTAGGTACATTTTTAAACTGTTCTACGGCTAGCTGTAGTGGTAATGGAGCTTGGACTGTTCCTTTACTTAGTTTAGGGTATAGTTACATCTGTAGAATATTAATTGATAATATTGATTATTCAAGGACATATTTTCCTTTCATTAATTGTTTCCAGTCATGGCAACTGTCATTTTAAGGGTCTCCACCTCCAATTCCCACATAATAAAGGAAAATGATTCCAAAGCGCTTGCATGTATTTAAAGAGTTTTTATTCCAGTTAGTTAAAAAAAAAAAAGACTGCCGAGTGATGTGGTAAAAACTCACTAATAAATTCTGGAACAGTAACATTTCCTGCTAGTCATGCAAATCGGCTTACTTTTTCCTTAATTCCTACTGGGAATTCGTATTATGAGTTCAACTCAACACAGTGAGTTTTTACTTGCTGCCGGTACAACGTTATTGAGGCTGTGGTGGATTTGCATTAAATGCCCAGTCTAAGGAAGGCAGGACTATTTATGCATATAGGCTCAGTGTAATTATTTCTATATAGGATATCCGCCAAACACTCAATGAAATGCATTAAAAAAAAACAAAAAACATTGTAACAAGCATACAGTAACAGCTTAAAATTCACTAAAACTTTCCACTTACCATTTTATTATTAATCTCGTGGAAGTGAATTTCGCAGACCTTCTCCACAATATCCTCACCTTCAAATGTGACAAATCCAAAACCTGCATTGAAAAAGAAGCACAGAAGTGTGTTAATAATGGGCCAGAAACAAGAGTGCCAAGAGGTGTTGCGTGATAGGTTATTTTGGTGTAAGCAACAATGCATACAAACTTTGAGACTAAACTGAGGGCAAAGAGTAGAGACTTTGAAATTTGTGCCTGTTGAGTAGAAATAGTATGCTTTTGCCTTTATAAGGAATCTTTTCAACTGCAAAAAGTCTGTGCAGAACAACTGAGTTTTACATGTATTCTCTAAAGTACAGCGCTGCGGAATCTGTAATATAAATCTTTATTCAGTTTTACCCAAGAATAAATTACAGATATCTCATACCAATTTAAAACAACAATAAATATCTAACATACAATCTAGACAATTACTTCTAAGCATACACCGTTCATACGTATACAAAGTGGGATAAGGACACAGCATACATAGGAAACAATATATGTCTCTTATTCTTTAACAGCTCAATAAACTGAAGTGAATTAGTGAACTACTCCTAAGTTTCTACTATCTTCTATGATTTGTATACACTTTATTCCCATCTCATATTTCTTTACATTGTCTTTCCCCCTATATATGCCTATCTCATTCTTGATCTGGGACAACAGCTGTTTCTCCCAATGCTTACAATCAATAACCTAAGAGGTTTTCCAGCCTCTTTCTATCAGAATCTTCACTGCCATGAATGAATGTATAGTCAAAAATTGTTGATATAATGATATTTCAGGCCAGTGGATATGTAGAAGCGCAGAGGTTGGAGATTTTTCTATCAACATTTTATCCCAAACATTTAATCTTCTGAAAACCTCATCCCATAGTTTCTTGATTAATTTACAACTCCACCAGATATGGATAAAGCTTCCAATTTCACTCCCGCATCTCCAACAAATATCCGACTCCTTATGGTCAATTCTATTTAGTCTAATTGGCACTAAATACCAACGATAACATATTTTATAATGCGTCTAAAACAAAATCATATTATGGATATTTTTTTTTACCTTTATCATCATATTACCCCAGCTCGTGAGATCAATCTTTAAATTACATTCCTTTTCCCATCTTTTTATTTGTTTAGACCTTATGTCTTTAGGAGCCGATCTTATCAATGCATCAATAATTAGCCATATTTTTCCTAGGGCTTTCACTTCCAAAAATTTGCTTTATAAGACCACTACTTGTTGGCGCTTTATAAATACCAGTAATTAATAAATAAAGGAGCCTTAATGTGGTACGTTCTTTTGACTACATATATAAACAAGGATCTCTTACTGAGGTAACAACAGATTATCAGTAACCAACAGCCACCTTGTGAAGGGTTACTTTATCATAATACAGCACGATCTCTGTTTTCTGCAGTAATGATGGTCACGGTAGAGCTTTACTATTTGAAAGTAAAGACTGAAAACAGGGCAGTTAGTGGTGTTAAAGCAATATTAGTGCAAAAGGTGATAACTGCACAAGTTTTCCCAATTGTAGTCTCGAAATGTAAAAAGTAACCCTATTTCAGATTTTTTTAAATTTAGGTTTCCATAAATAAATGGTGATTCTTGAAGTGCCAGTAGGTTTAGAGTTTAAGGGAGTAATACGTACAAGTGCAATGTCTGATTCACAGATTTATTCACTAAACCTGTACTGACCAGTGAAATATTTTTGCCAAAAGAACATTAAAGAATCTCCAACTGGGAGCCTACTAAAATTCCCAATTTCCTGTAATTTCTAATCATTACTATTACTGTGAATGTCTAAACACTAACATGCTCAAACATCTGCAATGAATGATTTTGTAATATAAATAAATAACTCACCTCTGTGCCGGTTTGTGGTTTTATCAAACATTAACATGGCATCATCAACCTGTGTGACAGATATTGTCAAATTAATCACCAGAGACACATAACATATAAAGGCAGGGCATGTCCTGTTTTGTGTGAAATAAATACACAGACACGTGAAACATATTCCAGCTGGATGTACTATTTAAGCCTGGATTGATAATTTGGAGTGGAGTGAATTATACTACTATTGGTTGGTTAAAGTAGGACTGGTGCCACATAGTAGGAGCTGGGATTGTTTTTAGAGGACATATGGTCAGGGGTGGGGGCACAGCAGTTAAAATGGGGGACCTTAAAAGAGAGGGCTCACAATTTGAATCATGTACGTGAAATGGGTGTTTTCTTTTATCAGAGGAGGGGCATGTAGATCACCCAGGCCATGGGCATGGATGGGACACACATTAGGGAGGAGGTACTCGAGAGAAAATAGAGGGAATGAAAAGAAATCCAGGGGAGAAAGGGGGCCGTACGGGGAAAGCAGAGAGAGAGAGAGAGAGAGAGACATGCAGGGGATATCAGAAAGCAGGAAAATATGGCTGATAAGATATTGCGCTCACTGTTCAGTTCAAGGTTTATAATAGGCCTCTTTAAATTAGAGAAGATATTTATTTACTCATCAGGTCAAACTGTTTCTTGCTTTTCAAACAAAACCGTTTGGTTCCCTGGAGAATCAGCAGCTCTGGGAGCTCTGTCCTGTTACTATGACTGCAGCTTAGTATGTCCTGAGCCGCAGGGGAGAGGGACAGAGGCAAAAGCCTTTGTGTGCAACTGAAAAGATGGGGGGAGGGGAGAGGGCCCCACCAGATATCAGGGGGAGAGATACACACAGGGAAAGAGTGAGAGAAACAACAGGAGAATTAGAGCAAGAGAAATTAAAAGTAACAGGATGAACTAGATGCCTGTATTTTATTTTATTTTGGAATGGAATACACAGTACATAGGCTGCAAACCTTCATTCCTGGGCAGGTGACACATTATTACAGTAAATCTTTCTGGACATAGTGTGTTTCTGCAATCTCTGTTTAGTGTGCAAATCACCCCCACCCTCCCCTCCCACAATGTAGCAGATAATCTGCAGCCGCTGAGAGAGAAATCCCAGTCATCCAGTGATCTGTCCAACCTCCTAATTAAATGGGGATCTAATCGCCTTATAACAAGGCTTGTTCATCAGTGTCTGTGAGGGGTCTTATAATGAGGGAGGTACATCCTCAGGTATCCTGGATGCAGAAAGGAGGAGTTGACATACTCTTAATATGATTACCAATGCCTTACAAGTTTTCATGTCTTCAGATTATTTAGTAACTCGTTTCCCCATCTTTAAAGTTGATTAAACCTTAACCCCTCATAATTCCCTGTCCCCCCCGACACCCATTGCTCCCTTTGCTCCACAAACACACACATATCCCCTGAGCTCTTTCTGATCTAAATCATAATGACGCAAATATTTCACCCTGCTGTCATGGAGACAATGGTCACTGGCCTGTGCCGACACTATTTCGTCATAAGGTACAAATCAAGTTAATTACCTAGTTACATAAAGCAAACTGGTCTGGTTATACTCCCTGAATAATGCTTAAAAGGATATTTAAAAAATCCCTTAACAGGAAAGTGCCTAAACGAACATATAGTAAATGTATATATATTTACACATATATACACATTGTCCTGTAAGAGTGAAATCCTCCCTGGTACCGAAAATGTCAAACTCACCTTGCCAAACTGCTCAAAATATTGTTTCACATCTTCAACAGTTGTATTCACAGATAAACCTCCCACAAATATCTTCTTTGTCCTTGTCACCATCTGTAATAAATAGGGATCTTAGGAGAGAGTCTTATATCCAGCCTAAAAATCAACCTGTCCAAAAGACAAACTGGCTAACAGGGGAGGGCTGTGTATAAGGAGTTTATTTAAACAACAGGTGTCATTGTAGTGACTATGATGGATGCTGAGTTCCCACTGATGAAGACAGTGTATTAGCAATAGACAGGATATTCTGCATATACGTCACACACAATCAAATATATCCCATCTCCCCCCATCTCCCCCGTTATTAATACACATTGCCACACATAACAGGGAGCAAAAGTGTGTAATACCACATATAAGGATACTCACTAAGTAACAGGCCTTGTGCAGAGGGTCTCCCAGCTGCCCCTAATTACCCTAGCACTAATCTTCCTGGCTGACACCAGCGACCGTCTGTCAACAAACTACTTAAAGGAATTAACCCAGTTATGCTGGTGCCTGCAGACCCATTTTGATCCACCTGCTAGTTATTGGTTTAAGCCGATTTTTTCCCAATAGTTACATATCCCTCCCACTCTACACATGTGTCTCAGAGCTTTAACAGCCTTTCTAAGGCTTTGCCACTAAGTTGCCTGTAGAAATCTTACAGGTTTCTACAAGATTAACTTTATTCCCACACCCAATCTGTATCCGAATCTTACAGATCAAGTCCCCTTTCCCCCCCAAACAAGCGTAACGTTCTACCCAATCACAGAGACTCACCTTGGGTTGAGCTCTGCGAGGAAATGCTACTTTTGGGTCAATCTGTAAGAGAAAATATGTAGTGGGCTTAGTATATTTTGAGATAATACTACTACAAATAGCTTTCCTGTAAGATATAAAATTTTATTTAAAGAAACATACAGAAAATAAATACAGAGAATTAAAATGTAGCTTAAAGCATACAGGAAACTAGAGATGTATCAGAACCTGGGAGAAATCACACAGTATCAGCGAGGTCGTAATGAGTAGCATCAGTTATGAATACAAATGTGGTTATTCCATAAAATGTCAACTGTTGGTAATTCAAAGTGGATTTAAAATTTTATGCCAAAGCAGCTAGACAGTAAACAATGCTGAGCAGAAGAATTTTTTTAATTTGGTTATTTTGGCCTAAAATCTAAAATATATATTATATATATATTTATGTATTTATTTTTTAAATCACTTTAGTGGTTACATACCTCCCAAATGTCCATGTTTGGCAGATAAAATAAAAATCTGGGGCCCAAATCCTTTTGACCTTTCTTTATTATCCTAATGTCCTCTTTTTGGGAGCTCCATATTGTTGGTGTGTCTGAATGTATAACAGAGTTCCATAATACTCACAGCAATGTGCCACAGCAATTCTTATAAGCAAGTAATCCAAACTTTATCGAAACATCCCACCCACTCACACCCCTAAAAGTAAAGTGTCTCCCTTTTTCGATTTTAAATTTTGGGTGGTATTTAATTAGACCTCAGAATGTTGCCTACTATAGGGTCATTTTCAACATTATTTAATGGGACACTTCTCAGAAATTACAAAATATATTTTCTTATAACCTGTATTTAGCAAGTATTATTTATTTATAAAATATTTTACCAGGAAAGATACATTGAGATTTCTCTTGTTTTCAAGTATGTCCTGGGTATGTGTATGTCCTAAGCAAGTGTTTGCAAGGCACGAAAAAGAAACTTAAAAGGATACTCAGGGCACCATGACAACGTAATCTCAATGAACTTGTTATGGTGCATGGGGATCCTGGTGCCATTTTACGTTTAAGTGTTACGGTTTAACATTTGTGGGTGTGCAGCTCTCCTCTTTGGCTTGCACTAACACAGAAGCATTAGCGCGATTAGTGAAAGGATGGCAGTGATTGGCATCATCTGACACACTTACACTATCACTGGCTGCCATTTGTGAATAAATATATGTACATTTCTTTCCTTTACTATTCTATACTTTATGTTCAAAAGAAACAGAAGCATTAGGAAAAAACAAAAACCCAGGTGATTTTCAAAGTTCTGTTCAAAAGGTGTAATTGAATTCGCCTATAAAACAAGTAGAAGTCTTTTGTTTGGTACCACCCATCACAAGTGGAATTGCAGAAATAGGATAATTGTGCTGTGTAAGCAAAAATGTTCTGTGGAATCAGTGAAGCAAATAACATTTTGATTCACTGTTCTGGGATATTGAGTTCTGAGAAGCGTTGACTCAAATGCTGCTAGTGTACTCATCCCCCAGCTCCTCACATGTCACCAGTTCAGTGAATAGACTGTCAGAGGAAATCTCCCAAGTGGGCATGCACTAAGAACTCATTTGAACAGCTGAATCATGCCACCAAACTTCATGGCACAAGGCACAGAAGCCTTATGGACATACATATGTGTTTTGGAGCTTACATTATGAAATAAACCTAACCCTGCGTATATCTGATATAAAGCTCACATATTTGCCATCACATCGGACAAGAATTAGGAGACCAGCATGGTTATTCACCAAACTCACAAAGTTTTGCATATTAAATCCAGTTGGAGAATCTGAGACAAAATGAGCTGATATGGAAAAAGAATCCAACTCAGTCACAGTCTTGGCTATTGCTACCTCAGTTTGGATTTAATTCATGAGAATTTGGAGTTTAATGAATAACCCTTTTTAAGTCTCAAGCTCTATGGAAGCCTTGAGTTGCACATTTCAGTAATACACCTTGTTTAACAGTATATCTGACCTAGTTGCCCAGTGCCTCTAGGAATTAAGCTCAGGCCTTACTGTCCTTTCCAAAACTAGAAAAACTGTGGCAAAAATGATAAAGGTCAAGAATAGTGGTTCTGAAAATAAATATATATTTTTTTCATATGGCTTCCAAAGTTATCACTTCAAGGTTTAAATGTTCAATTCACATAAGCAAATAACACGTACTCTATGTAAATGCACATATCAGTGGCCAAATGTAACTTTAATGATGGCTATACGTCAGAGCCATTATTCTACAGTGTACACATCTTGAATGTAAAAAAAAAACCCAAAAAACAACAGGAATGAGACAGATAACAAAAATTCCTTCAACAAAATATATGTGTTAAACACAACTAATACGCATCTAAAACAGAGGCAAGAACAAAAGAGTAGAGCCTAGTAAGGAACTGAGAATTTCTAATTAGAATATAAAATTAAATCAAGTTAGAAAAATATGGAAAATTATAACATATACAATATTGAATATAAAAATCATCCCATGAACAACTACACAAAAAAAAACCAACCTGAAAAAAATATACAAACATAAAAAAATACTTATATATATATATATATATATATATATATATTTTTTTTTTTTTTAAAGAAGACAGGGTTCTACAAAGGTGCATGCATACAGATAATATTTATACTAAGGGGAAGGAAAACGTGGAATTAAGGAATATAAACAGAAAAAGATATCAGATCTCAAGCTTAGATATGGAATATGGATATTTATCTGAGCCCCATAAATTAACTCTGCAACCAGAAAATGGGCCCACAAATAGTGTCATGTACCTTAATGATGTGTTTGTAGTGAGAAAATGTATTGTTGTTTTTCATTATCAAGGCAAAGCTTTCAATGCTTTATCTGGCAAATGCTAGAATGCTTTGGTACAAGAATTACTATGTAGACTTGTTATAAATAATAAGAACAGTAATAATGATTTATTGCATTAAAGCTTACAAGTATTGCCAGTGGGTTAAAGTCTAGTTTATAATTAATTATCCATTTATTTGTAAGAGCAATAGAAGAATACAAATCGAATACTGGTGGTGTTTAAGACAACTGATCATTTCCCAGCTTAACAATAACTAAGGTTGATAAATTGTGGTTTTTGTTTTTTCACATAATTGCTGCAAGAAAGTTAACAAATCAAATCAAGGTCTTTAGGGAGTAACATCAGAGAAGGGCAAGAGGGGTCAGGTTTGGCAGGGTCTACATGGCCCTCACTGAGTAGTGATGAACTGGGGAATGTTTGTGCTTCTGGGCATCAAGGGAACGAAATCTAAACAGGAGATAGCATATTCCAACAATACCTCTTTGTCATGACATTCCTCTCTGCTATGTCAGTAAAGGCCAGGAAGATGCTATTAGCAGAAAACTGCAGCTCCGAGCAGAGTTGAAAAGCACCAATTTCACATCACTAAACACAAGTCACTATTGTTACAGGTAAATGGCAAATGGAGAACCAGGACAGACACCTGTAACACCAAGCTATATTGGGGGAGAGGGCTTAAATCAATATATGCTACAATGTTGCAATAATTCTCTTTGGTTAGAGCAACTTTAGAAGGAGCACAAACCTAAAGGAGACTACAAGAAACTCACATAAAAAGTGTAATAAGGGAAGGAAATGATGGCAGTCTTTCTTTCAAGTTATTTTAAACAATTAATGATTTGGTAGTTCGACGACTACACATGCTCTGAAATACATGCTAGTTCATAAAACAAAATTTTACAAAAAAAACATGTATTTCTGCAGGATCAAACCATTTAAGGAACCAGTAACCTACCGCACACATATACAATTTTACCAACCAGCTATCCAATATAGTTCAGTATAGCAGGCAAATCACAAATCTCAGCAAAAAAAAAAAAAAATCAAATGCTGAAAAAATAACATCTATAGACCTTTATCTGGACATAAGATTTAAAAAATAAATTAAAGATGAACTTCTGCAAACCAGGATACATAGTTATATTTTCATTTGTACACTCAAAGTTTTACAACAACCAATTCAGGAATAAAACTTCAGATTGAAATGTGGACTCAAAAGTGAAGCAGATGAGTACTGTAATGATCTTGCTGTGAAGGTTTCATTTAGCTACTCTGGAACTAACATTTTTTTTTTTTTTAAGCACACATTATGCCTAAAACATAATGACAATGTCTGAAAGATACAGCTGTGATACTAAATAATACTCTTACAGCAGTATACTTGGTCTGCAGACTTGAAAATCTGACCCATATACTAAACTTGGATAGGAAAATACTGAACACCACATGGCTTTACAATTAAATATATCAAAACTTGGGATCAGGGCTGTATCCATTTCTGTGTCTGTGATTCCTTACATGGTGTGCCATTTTAATTTTAAATTAATTGCCATGGAGGTATTTCTTCATGGTTTAATTCCAAATTGGTAAACTGTACATACATTTGTCCCGCTCTGGATTAATACTGTGTGCCATTTGGCTAACGTGTTATGAGAGCTTTAATTCAATTTATAATACTACCCTTTTGAATTTTATGGAAAAAAATAAAAATAATTATAATATCAAATAAAAATAAAAGAAGAAGAAAAAAAACATAACAGTTCAACTAATTAATAAACATTTTTCTCTTGATAATAAAAGTAGAATGCAGGACTATATTAGATGATCATACATTTGGTACTGAAATGACATAAAAAAAGGCTAACATTTGCATAGCATATGCCCTCTTACAGACTAAATGACCCACACACTAATAATTGACCCACAGGGAAAAAACCCAACTGCCAAAGCACCCAACCAACATTAGCACCCACTAAGCAAATGGACTTAAGTCATAAATCAAGCAAAGACTCACCTAATGAGGTGCCAAACCAACCAAGCCGTGATCCAGACAGACTAACACATCACATAACCCATGTTCCCAATATATTTCAATTATTCACCTAACCCCCTCCAGCTCAGCTAGTATGACCCTCTACCCCCTCAGCCTAAAACAAAGTATAAAGAACAGTCTTTTCAAACTGCCGGTGGGTCCCCCTCTGCTTTCAAACGTTCTTTGTATGAAACATACACTTGTCTCCTCCCAGGCAACAAAAGAAAAAAAACTTCACATCCATGGACCATGGGACAAACAGCCTGAGACTCACAGCTCCCCTCCCCCGTATGTCTGCTGAGATGCAATCCCCAGAGCTCCCTGGCTCCGAATGACAAACAAGAGACCACTGACTAGGCTAGATAGCTACAAACCTGGCATAGCAAATCATTTTATAAATTAATTAATTCAGTTTTGAAATTAGTGCTGACTGCAATACCTAAGCACCCAGCTGGATTTAAAAATAAAATTGCAAAGCACTGCACTGTTTCCCTAAGCTATGACAGTCTGCATTTCCCCCAAACAAGACTGTAAACACCTGAATCCTGAACAATACGGTGGTGATCCTCAAATCAGATGGAAACACGAAATGGAATCTCACACTTCAAATCCATTTGGGGTTGGTTAATGTGCTGGTTCAGAAATAACTAGGGGGCACAAGCAAAGTAAGTGATTTATGTATTCTAGTAACCTCTTTCAGCCGGCAGAAACTCAATTACCTGTGGCCCAAGAGGGAACATCTTCAACTAACGAGCCTCAACGCATAAGCACGTCCTTATACGGTAGATAAAATCCCACTCACATCCCCATGGTTCCCAATCCTTCATAGTGACAACGTGGCAGGATGCTTCATTTTCTGGATTTACATCCCTTAAGAAATCTTTTCATTTGGTCAAAAATGTCTATCAGAAATGCAATCCCTTTCTATCACATAACTTCAAAACAGATGTGATCTAACACCTTAAAAATACTGATAGACCATTCATCCACTTGTCATCTTATTAAGCAGCAAGCTAAACAACACTATTGTTAAGATTCTGAGCTACATCACAGCACCTATGTCTGTTAATACATAGTAGTATATTAGATTTACGTAAAGGCAGGTGTATGAATGTAAAATGCCAATCAAGCGTATGATTTAAAAAACGATGCCATTTAGCAGACTATTGTGATGGTAAAATTGAAAAAAGTATATTTGAAGGTCATGTTACAGAGACCATGTAGCCGTCTCTGAGCACAACTAAACAATATTTAAGGGGATCATCACGGCCTGAAGATGAAATTTAAGCCTGGATGTGCCTCCATAAGAACTTTGTGCTTTTAGAACAACAACACAGCTTATTTAGTGAAATGTCTTATCATTTTCATAAGATTTTACACCATTACAAATAAATAAAATATACTCAGTGAATAATTACAAAGGGTATAAAAATGTACATCAAACATTGTGATGCAAATAGACTACTGGATAAAGAAGGTCATATTTTTGACCTGAAGCATTCATTTCCCAGGATACCACAAACATTGAGCTATGCCAGAAAACATATCTTTTTAACCATGTTAAAGGTGTTTTATTAGATATAACTGGTGGAATATTTTTTTAGCCATGTTCACTAAATAGGATTTATCATCTTAACAAATATTTTGCACAAACTAAAAAAAGGAATATGACAAACACTGAGCAATAGTGTAGAATAGAGTATAGAATACAGGACATACACTTTCCAGAGTTCTAAATACCCATTAGTTACATGATTGATCGCAATGAATTGAACTTCAAATTTGTTTTTCTAAATACTTGTAAGGCAGGATTTTTTAAATTTTAGAAATTAAAATTATAATTTATTTTTTTTAATTACACTATGTGCATCACACTCACATCACACATGAAATCTCACCAAAGCTTTTATATCTCTTATTAGCGTGTGATAATCAATTAATATTTTATGTCAATGAGCACTGAGCAAAGGTTAATTTCAAATACCTGTTGTCAATTGGAGGCCATCTTTGGTTTAGACATAATGTACAGATCTTAGGTACAAAACAATGATAAAGTTTAATGCAACTCTGAAGAAAAGTTCTAAAAAGTAATGCAATCACCATGGAGACCAATAAAGTTTCCCATCAGCTTGCTCCACTTTTACACCATCCTTACACATAAACACCTTTGCATAATTTATAAAAATCATACTCTAGCACCTTGACCATCTCAACTATTACCAACTAAACCACCTGTCACAAAGAAATAAAAATAAACATTCATTGTACAGCGCTATGGAATTTTGCTGGCGCCATATAAATAATAAAATAATAATAATAATAATAATAATAACACATCAGCACAGCTCACTGCAATTTTTATTGGTTACCCTCCCTATCTGCAGGAATTTAAAGAAATGAGAAATACAAACTTACCGTTTTTGAGTCCAGCTCATGCCTTGATTGAGCCAAAACTTTGTCCACTCCAGCCTGGTCCATAAAAGTCACAAATCCAAACCCCCTGGAGCAAAGTGAAAAAACTGTAAATAAGTAAAAGGCATTTTGGTTCTATTTCCATGGGTTTATTCAAATGCATGAGCTAAATCTCACCTGGATCTTTTTGTCAGCGGGTCTCTCATAACAAGACACTCCTTGACATCCCCGAACTGACTGAAATACTCTCGCAGGCCCTCTAAAAAGAGGAAGGCAGCATCCCAATTTAGTGGAGAAGGTAAATCCCACAATGCAACACAAACTCCAAAACATCAATTTTAAAGAAATGGAGAGAATATATGGAAGGCCACAAAAAGGAGGCAGTGGGATTAAGAAACAAAATGGTGGAAGTACGTGACAAGGGGGCATGCAAACGCAATAAGCAATCTCACACCTTAAACACACATTACATATTCCATTATGGTCCCCAGTTAACCAGTCAGTGCTTACCTTGTGTTGTCTGCCAGCTAAGACCCCCGATGAACATTTTGCTGGAAACGTAACAAGAGCAAGGCATGAAGAGATAGGAAATAATAATAGTCATAAAATATGCTATATGTATTAAAATATATAGTTAAGAACATTAAAAAGTCAAATGTTTGCTTACACTCAGGTACAAATTAGAGAGATAATTCGAATGGAATATGAACCTCTAACACAGATTATGAACTGCTAGTACATGCTACATGCTTATTATCAGAACACATAGCATGTTCATACTTAAAAATATAAAGATTTTAAAAAGTATTTAAAAGCACACACACATTCCAAAACCTTAGAAGCTCGGTGTCAGTAATTTACGGTGGTCATTCAATTGTTTACCGACACCAATGGTTCTATTGGCTATCAGTTAAACTTTGACACTGATAAAGAAATGTAAGTTTATCCATTTGCCTTTGCTGGTGCTGTAGAGACTAATATGATACTCTTAAAAATGTCACATTTTGGAGAAAGTTGCTTACAAAGTTTTTGAAAGTTCTGCAACTGTTTTTAATTATTCCAGTGCATTTATATACCATAATGGGTGCAGTCCTTCTATTAAATGTGCTCAATATATAATCAGATATATACACTATACACATCACCACCATATACTATCTGATATTCCTAACTGGGTTGTTGTACCAGGTGTACACACATATGCAATACAAAATATTTGAGTGGTTCATTATGGCTAAAATCTGGGAATAACTAAATATCCAATAAACAAGATATTAAACACGCACATTTTGTTTTTTTCCAAATTTCAATACATTTGTCAGTTTATCAATTTAATGGCTGATGTAACCCTAATATGGTCCCAACATTCCTAAATATCATATAGGCATCTCCAAAAAAATCTACCGTAACTTTCTAGACATATCAGTGAGTAATACAAATACATTTTTCATGATGGAACTGGAAATGTTTGCCATCCAGCAGGCAATCATGAAATCCAAAATGTTTTTTGTTTTTTTTTAAAGGTTTAAAGATGTCACATAAAAAGAGTTTTATATGCATTAGTAGTAGATAAGGTTCCAAGCAGAAACTCTTACATTAAAGTACGTTGAACATTGTGATAAAGAGAGAAACTTTGGCACTCATACAATTCAAAATTATAGAAAAGGGGAACTTGTAATAATGAAAAACGTGGTACATATGGTACTATATGGGTCATTCTTTTCAAAAGGGTGAGTTTTTGTCCATCGTAAATATGAAATATATCAACAAATCTATAAAGCAAATGCTTGGACTACAAATGAAACATTTTAATTATACATAAATTGAATACTCAGATTTGTTTTAGTTTTCTGTGATTTTAGTAAACCTATTTTGTTTTCCTCTACAATTACTACATTCATAGCGGCAATGGAAATAGTCCAAGGACAATGGGCTGTGGTACTGTTAATACACTAGCTGAAAGTTAAGCTAATAAAGTATTACCAATACAACACTGGTTAAGAGAACCTAAAATGTAGCACCTCAGCGCACCAATGTTTTTGCACTTATATAAGTGTCTATTATAAACTGTGCCTTCAATTTGAGATTGTTAGTAGTACATTCAGTTTTTACATGTCCCGTTTACGGCCCCCAGTAACTTTATTTTCTTCACAAGTGCCAGGCTAGTGGGAACTTCCAGTCAAGTTGGGTGACTATAAAGTACTAATTAAAATATACTGTATGACAATGAATAACTATTGATGGATCAGGCAACTAAGTATTGTCAGTATTAAAAGTAATAGAAATCTGTTACTACTAAACACAGTGGGGGGGGGGGGTCATTAATTGTTACTACTCTAGGCTAACAGGGATGAAAGGTGACTGATCTTAATCAGTAGAACAGCGGAAAGGCTAACACATTTTATTCTAATAATAATAATAATAATAAAGTGATAACTTCAATGATAACTGAGAAAGAAGCAAATTGCATTTTGTTCAAGCAGACAGATCCTAGGCAGCACCTGGTTAGCACAGAGTAAAAAGCAGGGGTGGTCAAAGGCAGACCTCTCCAGTTGTTGTAGAACTGCAACTACCATGATCCTTTGCCAGCCCTTAGGCTGGCAAAGCATCATGAGAGTTGTAGTTCTCCAGCAGCTGGGTGTCTACCTTATGGCCACCCTGGTAGTGAAGTGACTTTTCTCGCAGGATCCTCGTTCCCAGTTAGCCATGAAATGCACACTATTGGAATCACTGCTACATCACTTACATGCTGTGCTCTCACAATATAGCTTACATCTGCAAAGAGTAACAATGAGTTCCTGTTAAGAGAGCGGGCAGAAAACACAATATACCTGGTAACAATGAGCTCTCCCCCTCCCCAGTGAAAGTTACCCATCTGACCCTCACACTCACTCACAGCAGCCTGGAGGTGCCCAGGTACCTCCCCCTCCACCATGCCCCCCTCCAGCCCAGCCCGGGGATGGGAGCCCTGATGGCAGGGGGGATAAGGGAGCATTGCAGGGGCCCCTTACCAAGGATCGTGCGCGGAGTCCGGGGGCGACAGTCCAGGCTGGGGCGCTTCTGTCTCCATTCGGTCTGTGGCGGCTCCTGAGAGCGGAGGCAGCTCCCGGGACAAGAGGATGGGAAGGGACGGCATGGCCACGCCCCCTGCCCGAACATCCCACCCCGGGTAGGCAGCACAGGGAGCTTATTCCTATTAACCACGCCCACCGGCTGGGTGTAAACCCCGCCCCCAGTGCAATAAACCCCGCCCTGGCACCTGCCCGCCTCCCCCCCCCCCTCCCTAGTGAGCCAGCTTGCCACTGACTGTCCCTAAAGCCACTGGAAATGATGTGGGGGTGGGGAGGACATTCCACCCTCACTAACATATCAACCAAAAACTACCACCATTAACACCTATATCCACCTTCTCTCCAGTGCCATCACTGAAATCCTGTGCTCAGCCACAGCACTTGGGCACAACTCCAAAAAAGTGCATGCAGAGCAAGTCTAATGGGATTAGCAATGGGAATATTTTACTAAGAGGTTATTTATTGTAGAAACGACAAATACCAGCTCAAATTAAAACATCCCTCCTTATGATATACACAGTATTATTATTATTATTTCTTTATACAGAAACACTCTGAGGACACAGATAATAAAGCAGAGAGCATAGTTTAGTTTGACATAAAGCAGAATAAAAGAAGAGGCTTTGAGAGAACTATCAACATTCTAAACAAAAAAAAAGTGGCAAAACTAAACCCCATTTTTTTCTAGTTTTCAAATTTGACTTTTTGGCCTACCGTTTGTGATGTGGTCTTTGGTTTATGGCATGGCAGATAAACCTTACAACATGTTATTGCAGATAAGCAGACAATATTTATAAATCAAATCTTCTAACACAATGTAAACAGAAGGTAACGGAAATGTACTGTTTGTGATGAACTTAATATAATGATAACAAAAAAATCAATAACACCCAAACTAGCCATTACTAATTAGGGCTACTAAATTCATTGATTTCTTTTATCATCACGTATAATTAAAAGGGCAGTATGGCCATGATAGTATTAGTAACAGAATAATTGCAGTGGACAACAAAATGATAACTCTGAGTCACCTATCTTTACAACATAACCAAAGCATCTTTAGTTAATTCTATTATAACAAATATATTATACAATGGCGACTTTTTGTTTGGACCCAAATTCCACCATTCTCAGATCTAACATGAGTATTCAGTAAAGTGAGAATTCAAAGTCAACTTCATATTTACGACCAGAGAAGCTGTACTGAAAGCTTAGTTTTTTGGGGCTCTAAATTTGAAATTCACTTTTAATTCTCACTTCAGTGAATAACCCTGAAAATTATTTTAGAAAAAATATTTTAGATTGAATTTAAACACAATTACAAGCAATGCTTTGAACTTGTATCTTTTTCTATAGACTGATAAACATTATTGATGTCAACCATTTTAACATTTATTTACAGAAAAACATTAGATGCAATTTATAAACCAGTACAATCCACCTTCATTTTGTATTAATCTTGTAAACTGCATCTGATATCTAAAGTGTTCACTCACAAAACAGGGGTTACATAGTTGGATATGAGTTACATAGTTGGATTTTTTTGGCCTTGAATTTGTAACACAATTGGCAATCCAACGAAGTTATCTGACTTGTAAATAAACCCATAAGTGTACTTAGGATGTTTAGATAATTACACATTTTTACATATAAAACGTTTAAAAGGCACTCCAGGCACCTATACATGATACCTTCATCTGTGTGTTATGTTACAGTTAGTTAAGCTTAGTGGATTGTTAGTAAACTTCTTTGTTGTTTTATTTTGGTTTTGTTAAATAGTTTAGACCCACAATTCTACCCTTTATGGACATCTCTCCCTTCCAACCTGCAGTGTTTTATTGTATGTTCCAAAAATTCTGATGTTTGAGTTGTTGAGTGTTTTAGTTCAGATTTTATTACATATGGTGCCAGGAGTTCCCTGGAGCTGTCCCAAGTTTATATGTGTGTTTTCAAATTTTATCATAGGTCCCATTTAGCCAATGAATTAGATCAAGGTGCCAGGGTATTTCTGGCACCATAACAACTACAGATGGCTGTAGTGTTAATGATGCTTAAAGTTCCCTTTAATTTGATCATCTCTAACTCTATAATGCATTTAACAGGAACAGTCACTTCTCTGTAAATTACACCTTAAATAAACCATTGAAAATCACCTATAACTTATGTTAGAGAGAACCCTGGGCACCATAACAACTTAATCAGAATTAAGTTCCTATCATGCCAGGAGGCCCCAGATGCCTGCTTACCTTTGCGGGTTAAATCGTTCATGAGCGATTTAACATTGAAGTCTTCTCTCCACCTATGCCTTCCGCTGCTCTCTTTAAACAGGAAGCATCAAACAGGGATGCCACTGAATGACAAAGAGCATCAGATACTGCTCTAAACCAATCAGTAGCTCCCCATTCACAAAATGGATTGAGAAACATACATATTTTTCACAAATCACTTTTATCAGTGGGGAGCTACTGACTGGCTTAAAGTTTCAGCTGCCGATCTCAGCACATCAGCAGGGCCCTGTCTGCGGCAGTCCTAGGTTTCCTGTTTGAACAATCTGAGAGCAGCCTTAGGGCAGGGCTAAATGGCAATGCAGAGAGGACTCAGGGGATAAACCCCTAAAGGTAAGCCAACACCAGGTACTTCTTGGTACCATAACAACTTCCTTTCAATTAAGTTGTTATGGTGCCCAAAGTATTCTTTTAACTTTTTTTCCATCTGATGCTTCTTTTTCTTTTCAATATATAGTAAAGCATTTGAACATTTCTTCACAATGCAGGTCAGTCAATGAACAACCTGGACAAAGATTGAAAATGAGAAGAAATGGAAACGTTTTATTTTTCTCTTCTTCTCTACATGCTTTGTCTATGCTCGCTGCCAGGTGCAAACAGCAGAGCTTATAACAATGAGCTAAGATGGAGGCGCCCAGCTGCAGAATAAAGTTGTGTGGATTTCTACATTTAATTTTACTTTTTTTATCCTAACAAATACATATTTGTTAAATATAGGGGATACCTAAACATGACATATCAAAAAAAAAAAAATCATGGGAAATTGCAGTTTTACTTTGAAAATTATTCAAATCCAATCTAAAAAGAAAAGAGTATAGTAATTACTTTTTACTGTAATTTTAATCAGAATTGGTTTTAGGCCCGAAAACTGAGTGTGTGTGTACATTTTAAGAAAGTGATGAATAAGAATATACTTAACTGGGTTTCAATGCTTACATTTCTGGGTGGTTGCCAGTTGTTACTGTGTAGTTATATTTTACAAAACATGAATTTACCTACTGTAGGTACCAAAATGATAGACAAAATGTTGCTCATTAGGAATACATGGCAGTTATTAGTCAAAGAGAAAAAAACAGCTCATCAATGGCATCCTTAGGGCATTAATTACATCCATACGCACCTTAGCAATTTGAGATGCTATACACACAGATGCACTGTTAGCAGTCAATCTGGAAGCACTGTATCTTGTGTATTCCTAATAATAACGCAGAAAAGTCATATTCACTAGGATGACCTTGTAATGTGCTGCATAGATGTTAATTTCTCTTAACACATAAAACACAGTTAGTGTTGGCCAACTGAAATAAATATATCAGGCTATTCATAAATGACCAGGTTAATCACTAAGATGCATATCTACAACAGATAATTTGAAACACTCCTGGTGCACCCATAGATTTGAATACAAGCATTTGTATTTCAGATTCTAGATTTATACTGAAAGATGGAATGCCAGCGTCTAACCTGCCACAATTAGCTTCACTCTTTCTTTTTTACTTAATACTGATTTATTTTTAACCAACCTTTATCCCCACTGGTACTCTGTTCACAAAACAGTGGTAAGGAAATGAATTGTGCAACACATTCTAATGCCAATGTCATTGAATGTTAAGATACAGAGTAAATGATTTGGTGCCACAACTCCATCTTACTAAAATCAGCACATTATAATGCATTAGGTTAATAATTTCCCTGCTACGTGATTATCATTGTCATATGCTGACATACGTAAGATGAAAAATATTGGAAAGCCACAGAAACCTTCTTTCCTTACAGGTTCATAATCATATCTCTGGAACAGCTCTGGAAAACTGGAAAGCACCATATTCTGATGAGGTGTTAAAAGCACGGAATGCGTTAGACAGTGGACCTGTTTTCCATACTTTGTTGTATCCCCTGGGGTCTACAGTCACTTTTCCTATCAAGAAATAAATGTTTTATTTATTTATTAAGGGTCGAGGCTGTCTTTTTTGGCATGTTCCTGGCTGGGGTCTGATCAATTGGTTAAGTTCGAAAGATCCTATGCTACCTAAGCAGAATGCTCACTCCATTCTCTGTATTCTCAGTTAAAAAGTGTCAAGCAGCCTTATTTGTTAAACACACTTTCTGAAAACATAAAACTTTCAATATGTTTGAAATCTCTGGAAAGGTCAGAATCCCTGTATCCAAAATCAAACTGCTAATATTTATATATTTGTTTTGAATATATTTTATTCCCTTCATCAGTAAAGGCAAATCTCATTATATTATGATGGCATAACATGTATTAAAGAGGTTAAACCTATAATTTTGCATCTGTACTGCAGGAGTATCCCAGAACATATTATAAAACAAAACAACTATGAATGTATTCTTTCTGGTAAAACAATTTCTAAATTATTACATTTTGCATCCAGCAACTGTGTAAAATGCACCATTTGGATACAAAAATAATTACAAATCAAACTGCTGTTCACCAAATGTTCTCTTGACCATTCAACTATTTCCACTGAATTTACATATTCAATATCTTTACATTTTAATCAGGTAAAAAATAGGAGTAAATGCTATTAGAAATTAACAAGTTGGCTGTTAATCAATATCTAATTTGAAACAAGTAACCCTCTACTAAGCAGTCAGTCAAAAAAATTTAGGGGCATATTATGGTTTACCTATCCATTTGTGGAAGCTTGACCCACTGGTATCTTTAGTTCCCTGGCTATGGGTGCCTTGCCCTTCCCCCTCCTTCGTGACTCCCATGTCCTTGCTTCAGCCCACTTTCCCTGATACTCTCCCCCCCTGGCCTAAACAAGGAACAGCAAAAAGTTCTAGTGTTTTAGTTTTTTTAAATTGGGGGGCAGTTGTCCAGCACAGCATGGTTACTCTGTTGTATGAAAACACATTTATTTTGGTTGGACTAATCCTATAAAATAAAAAATAACAATAATGGGCAAGAAAAATCTACATAGTCTAGTCACCCAAAAAAAGTTTGTACATATCATCACCCTGTACCATCAATGAAGGAGCCTCTATGATTGGCTGTCATACGCACTGCCAATCACAGTGCTCCATTAATTAATCGCATACTTAATTCACCTCTGGTTACATGCTGTGCCCCAAACATTTAAAACTTGGCACCCTAATTAATTTTTTAACTAGAATTTCTGCCTGTTAATACTTTAAAGGACCACTATAGTGCCAGGAAAACATGCTTGTTTTCCTGGCACTATAGTGCCCTGAGAGTGCCCCCACCCTCAGGGTCCCCCTCCCGCCGGGCTGGATGAAGAGGAAGGGGTTAAACTTACCTCTTTCTCCAGCGCCAGGCGGGGGACTCTCCTCTTCCTCTCCGCCTCCTCCTCGGCTGAATGCACGGCAAGAACCGCGCGCGCATTCAGCCAGTCTCATAGGAAAGCATTTATAATGCTTTCCTATGGACGCTGGCGTCTTCTCACTGTGAAAATCACAGTGAGAAGCACGTAAGCGCCTCTAGCGGCTGTCAATGAGACAACCACTAGAGGCTGGATTAAGCCATTTATAAACATAGCAGTTTCTCTGAAACTGCTATGTTTATAGAAAAAAGCATTAAACCTAGCTGAACCTGGCACCCAGACCACTTCATTAAGCTGAAGTGGTCTGGGTGCCTATAGTGGTCCTTTAAGCATCAGGGCAGAGATTGCTATGCGGTAGCATTCATATGAGCTAAATCATTATCTTCCCCCTATGGAGTAAATTTTATATATATATATATATATATATATATATATATATACACAATAGGACCTTGGTTTACAAACGCCTCGGTTAACATAATTTTCGGTTTACAAATGAAAATCCATCGAAAATAATGCCTCAGTTTACAATTTTTTTTCGCAATACAAAGCAAGTTTCCCCAGGATGCATTGCACCTGGGATGTTTATAACAGCGTCCCCTGCATGCTGGAGCCTGTGGGTAGCATGTGGCGTCGAGTGTGGAGGTGTTGGAGCGGCTTTTGCATCGAATTTTGGAGCCATTCTGGAAATTGTTTGCAGTTGTTTTGGGACTTTTTGTGCATTTCTCAAGCTGTGGAAAGGTAGGGAGCTGAGCTTTGTCATTTGCACGCCTTTTTATTGTGTGTTCTGCATTGAGGGTTGGTTTCCATGCCAGCTCATTTTGACTTTTTTCTGACCTCCAGAACGGATTAATTTGTTTTCAATGCATTCCTATGGGAAACCGCGTTTCGGTTTACAAATGTTTCGCAATAAGAAACATCCCAGAGAGCGCATTAAATTCGTAAACCGAGGTCCCACTGTATATATAAGTCACTGATAATGATTTTAGAAAAATGAAATGTAATAGGATGAGATACATTCTATTAGAAACATATGTTTCAGAGTGTACAGATGCTTATGAAGGATACACTTGTTCAGATTTTTTTTCAACCATTACATTTCAATTAGCAGTAAGTGCAATTGTTGTAACACTGGCAACATCAATGATACACCCTTCTTGAGATTTCAAAAGATTATCTTCTACTTTTACATTTACTTTAACTCCATAATAATTATTATTTTAACATATATAGAGTAGATATACAAACATTGCAGTATACAATACAAAATAGATACAGACTTCTTACAAAGTAGAGCTTAAAGTGTATTGTATTTTTTTTTATCTACAAGAGTACTTTACGCTATTTCCAGGGCCCAAATGAGATATATGAAATAATATTATTATCAAGCAGACATTAGTTTCACTCTAGTCTAAGTTTCATATGGTTCTGCAGCCCTCTGATAACCTAGTGTAGCAAAGGAATAATAAGGTGCTGAACCTTGGAGCTTAGAGGACTCCCAGTCTTGCCAACTGCTGTCAAGGAAACCTGCAGCTGACATCACCGAATGTGTATTCCTTATTAGATCTTAGGTTTGTTTTTTTTGTTTTTAAAGATCAAGAAGATCACTTTAACTATCTAAGACCTTGATTTAATATTGTTAAATAAGCTTTTTCTAATTATTTCATATTTAAAAAAAAATTAATTATATATATATATATATATATATATATATATATATATAAAATATATAAACTGTACCTTGCACTTAGGCTTCAAACTTGCCAAACCGGGTGCAATACCAGGGCTTGAGTATCCATATAGTCAGGTAATGTGGCTGCACTCACGGATTTTCAATAAAAATTAACCTTTATTCCAGTTTCTTTAGAACAGATCAACGTTTCAGTCCATCTTGTGGACTTTCATCAGGATATGATATGTTTTTTAAGGTACTAATGATCCTGATGAAAGTCCACAAGATGGACTGAAATGTTGATCTGTTTTAAAGAAACTGGAATAAAAGTTAATTTTTATTGAAAATCCGTGAGTGCAGCCACATTACCTGACTATATATATATATATATATATATATATAAACATATTTGTTACTGCAAATCTAAATATTAAAAGATTTATCCAAAAATATTTAATCATTGAAAAAATATTTCAAAATATTAAACTGAGGCCTTAATGTTTGCTGAACTGATATTTTACTATTGTACTTTTTTGTTTGCTAAATGCAACCTACTCCCTTTCAAAACCCAATGCACAGTGAAAAAAAAAAACAAACATAAAAAATAAAATAAAATAAAGTGCATCAGTGAATAGGTCATATAAAACAAACACAGTCAGAGAAGACTTCCTTTGTAGCACACTGTTTTGATGGTCTGTTTAAAGGGACACTTCAAGCACCATAACTACAGCTCATTACTACAGTAATTATTGTGCATTCGTTCATGGTTTTTAAGTATGGCACTTCTAGCACCCATCTTTATCACTATCTTTTTATTAGTCCAAAACTTTGGTACAGAGTAAGTAGGATTTGGCCGCTCCCTAGTTAGCATCAAATTGCTGCAACTGAGATGGTTACCAGTGGTTTGGCTCAGCCAAACCCTAATTATCCTCTAATTCTGGTTTATGTGGGCTGATCTGATCTTATTCCACAAACCTCTGTCCAGCAAAGATTCATTGGATATTTACCTCAGTCTTGAGCAGCATTCACAATTATCACGTGTGAAGCTTGGAACTGCTGAATAAGCTGGGAGTAGCCATACTGTGGTTGCTATCATGTTCCTGACAGCTGTATTGACAGCCTTGTCTACACAGTGTTTGCCAGTGGAACAGGGAGAGTGGGCACTCACACAATCTGCACTCATGCACATATATTTTGGCATATAAGTTTAAAAAAAAATGTGTCCTTATATGCCATCAGAAAAAAGGAACAATACCAAAAGGTGCATATGTTGTTATCGTGCTTGGAGACTTTCTACATATATTGGACTTTGCTAAAACATGGAACATCTCTAAAGTCAAGTGGTCCTTGTATTCACAAAGTTTTGACTTTCTGCTCTGCTATACTCAGGTATGCTCACATCCCATGAGATAAGGAATACTCAGAGAACTCATTATTTACGCAGCATCCCGAAACTTCAAAGTGTAACTGATGAACCAAAGACAAAAAATAAATAAAAGAAATCAACTTAGGAGATTTTGGGTATGATTTAACATTGCCAGCATGTAAAGCAGACAACAACTAAATTATTAGCAACTTTGATTTCATGTCTACATGAAATACATTAGTGCTCACTCAAAGCAAATCCTGATTGCTATGTTTTCATTGTAGGAATTAAGCTGCTAGTCACCAATTATACTGTATATGCTAGGCTAAGAACTAGCAAAGGAAAAAATATACAAGAGAGCACTACACATTTGACACCAGAGTCCTGGCTGTCTAAAACACAGCTATAGCAAGCTAAAGCCGTATATATGTGCTACTACCACAAATATATAACATATATACACCTGCCAGGAAATCATAATGATTAGTGGCCATTTTATTAGATATTTAGCCTTGGATAGGGCCATCTTTTGCTTCAAGAGATACTTGGCTTTTTACAGCAATGCCTCAACAACGTACTAGAAATATTTTTGGGGGATTTTTGTCAATAGTAACCCAAAAACACAATGCAGGTCTATAGGTTTTTCAACCACATATTGATTCACACACCTCCTTATCCAAAAAGTGTTTTATTTGATTGAGATCTGAGGACTGTGCAGGTCAGTGCAGTAAACTAAAGACACAGTCATGTTCTTAAAACCAGTTTTAAAAATAATAGGGCTTTTTTGTAACATGGCAAACTATCCTACTGGAAATACCCATTGGAAAATGGGTAAACAGTTGCTGTAAAGTTCACGTACAAAGTAAAGGGCAATGATTAGGTATACTGTGGCATTCAAAATGATTCATTCATTTGGCTGATAGGTTTCAGGAAAACCTTTCCTGCAATATAACACCACCAGCTACAAATTGCTTTGATTGCCTGTAAATGATGAGTGTTCACAATCCACAGCCTTTTGAATATAGGTGAACCTCCTAATTAATGCAGTTGTTGTAAACTGTATCCCCCCTTATCATCGAGAAGTTACAGACCACACAACAGAAGTGCATGCCTTGTCAAGAATGTCCAAACCTCCCCTTTAAATGGTGTTGTAATGACGCTGTGCTTTTGTGAATGAAGCGAGATTATAAAAGCACCATTGCAAAAAGCTTGGGGATCAGTCAAATCAGTTTTTGTCAACCTTTTTTTTCAAGACTCCCTGTGCCAAAAAAGGGAGGATTTCAAACACTCTAAGCTCATCCTCAATATCAATCCAAAAATTTCCATGGCACCATATGCGTGTAATGAAAAGATGGCAGCACTGAGTATAAGAGATATAATCATGTTAAATCTCCACACACACTTCAATGTGGCTGTATTACCTTTGACCCTTTAGTAGCTGCAGAGATGTCATAAGCAGTGACATTTGTCAAGTCAAACACTGGTGCTATTTTGGGACAAAGTGCTAAAAAAGGAGAACTCACCATGGAAATCAAGAAAATGTCTCTCAATATTTAGCTATTTTCTTCAATAAACCACCTTCTTTTCCTTGATAAATGTCACCAAAAGAGCCTTAAACATGGTTTAGACACAAAACTATACTCATACATTCCTAGCATCCTTACCTATCTAAATATCTATTTCAGAGTTGTTTCATGCACAAGTAATATATTAGAGGGAACGCTGCCACAAATTGTGATCCAGCAAGTTCCATGCCCCATATGCCCTACAGAAGTGCAACACATAACAGATTACCAGCTGACAAATAAATCTAACTCAATGGTACTAAACCAACAAATGTAATGGGGCTTTGTTACTGAGCTTGATGGGAGTTGTTGTTAAAAGGAAATTAATTTCACAAGCAAAGTTAACTTGAGGAGGACAGAAAATATGGCATGGAATGAGTTTAAGGATAGTTCTAATTAGTTAGGTCAGCTATATTTTTAATAGGCACATTTCAGAGAGCATGTGACCTTTTTATAGTTCTTTGTGTTGGGATGTCAGTGTGGGGTAGATATGAGTTCAGCTACGGTGGCCTCAGAACTCACATGTGAACTATTTGGTTCTCTTATATATATGTCGGAGAACATAATGGTCAATGAGCCCCAAATGTTGTCATTTAGCCCTTCGGTCACATGTTCCTACTTGATCGGCAGCCACCCGAATCACCAAGTATTTTCTGTCCATCATACTTACTACGGTGAGAGCTAACAGTTGGCTGAATATTCCAGGTGTTGGGGATCCAGGCTAATTACAGTCTCTCTACTGCCTGCTGGAGGAAGGATAAAGTGGCCAAAGTTTTATGGGCACTGTGTTTCCCCACTATACAAAAACATTTATATCCTATGAGGAGGTATTGGTGATACCACCTAATGTAAAGTAATGTTCAGCTTTTGTACACTGGAGGAAAGGTCGTCAGAAGCCTTCCCAATGATGTTGCATAGGGTAAGGTGACCATGCTTGAGAAACCCTGTGTAAGAATAAAGAGACATCCAGGATGATGTAATTGCAGAAAAAGGCTCATCTGATTTTAGCAGCATTGCCCGGCAACCTCCCCATGCTCATAGAAGTAGTTCTTGTTTGCAGAACCTGTCTTTCTGCCAATATTTTGGACAGTCTCAATTCTCAATTGGTCCTTTTGCGCCATCTCATCATTTCCCAGGCCTTTTACTTTTAGTAACAGCTATTCCCTCCAGAGAGGCCAGACACATTTTCATCTGAATTAAAGGTTCACTCCAGACCCCTAATGTACTTTAGCTTGCTGAAAAGCTTTATGGGTCCTAAGAGTGTGTCCTATATTTTTAATTTCAATAGAAATTAACACTTTCATAAATTAAACTTGTTACACCCCCTGGCTTTCAAGCAGACAACATGTCCTGTTACTTATTCAAGAAGCAGCACCTGCAAGGACTGTCTGTGATTGGGCAGCCACAGAAAGTCTGGGTGGAGTTAGAAGGGGAGGGTTTGCAAACGCAGCAGACAAGATAACTGCAGTTTTTGCTAGATGTTTTTAGATCTACCCCAATGAAAAACTGCATAATTAAATGCATATATGTTTTCATTTGGTGTATATTTAATAAACCATTATTTTTATTTATTTTGTATTTGGGAAGTGGAGTGTTCCTTTAAGCTCCTAGCGCGCAAAGGCAGTCCTGAGTCCTCTCAACCTCATGAAAGTCATCTTGTCTGTGTGTCAGAATTATTTGCAACTGTCTCCTTTTGTCTTTTTTTGTGATCTCTCCTCTATTCAATCTAAGTATCTAAAAGGATAGAGGGAAAAGGTGGGATGTTAGTTACTAAAACCTCCCTGTCAAAACACTTTGTTGTCCTTTCTGTCTTTCATTTGTCCCAGTGCCTTCTTCCCATATGCTATACTCCCTTGTCAATCACTCAAGCCACATCTCTCTGTCAGAACTTATTTAAAAAGACACACTGTTCCTAGCGCCACAAAGGTTGTTGGATCTGCTTAGCAATGTTACCTGTATGTATATGCATAAATATGTACAATTATAATGTGGATCAACAGGCTTCTGCGCAAGCCGAACCGCTTATATGGCTCACGCCAATTTTGTCAAGATGAAAAAATAAAGTATATAAAAAAAAATAAAAAGACACACTGTTAAGAAAATAAAAATATGTACCAAAGAGGTTTACACAACTTATTGTGGTTGTTTCCTCCTACTACTGTTGATCTGTTCCTCTCGCTCTCCCTCCATCTGTTTGAGAACTATCCTCCACGCCTCTGCTTTGTGCTCTGGATCCATGAACATTGGGATCACAGACAAGCTGCATTTTTTTATGTGCAAATTAACGTGTTACCTTGTTTACCTCTATTTGACTGTTTTTCAAATTTTCTTTGCACACATCAAGATCTATTGTGCATTGCTTACCCAAATGCACTTGTATTGGAGGAGGAGGTCTGTTCAATTGAAATTTGCTGTAAAAAAAAAAATGAAAAGCAAATAGTTTAAAAGTTAGAGCTTTAATTTAGTGCCAAACACAGAGTCTGAGCTGCCAGAATGTTAAAGATGCATTCAAAGTTGCAAATATCTACAAAAGTAAATTTTCTTATACTAGCCATAGTTTAGCGGGCGAGTCTTATGGCTCTACTGGCAAATAATTTTATATTTGTGCTTTAATGGCTGCTGAACAGAATTAAGTGCAGCCAAAGGCAGAGAATAAGATGGATTAATATGTCCTGATAAGTTTCACAAAAACGTAATATCCTACAGGTGTGCAAAAACCCTTTACCTGGCTCAAAGCCTAATGGCGACATGTAACATTCCTGCCAAGTGCATTGCTACCTAATGTATGCAGTAGTTAATTGTGGAGTATTATAATTTCAGTAATATATAGAATATTAACAGAAAGCTAGCTGTCTTCCTTAGTGCCTCCCATCCTTATGGGAGCCTTTTATTTCACAACACTGAGGCCTTCTTTCTGTATTGGAACACTCTCTAGGAGACACTGTCACTAGAAGAGGTTTGCTGGATGCCCTGTTAACAGGTCACTCTAAACATGCTGCTTTCTTCCCAGCTCTCTATAAGCCTAGATGGCTGAATTTAACTCGTGCCTCGCATAAGAATTCCAGAGGGTGAGAGGGACCTGCCGAGATTACAGGGAGGGTCTGAATAGAAGCTTTTATTCCAGCCAACAAGAGCAGGGAGGGCTTTGTGAGCTCATGTGGGAAGCAGAGACGCATTCACAAGAATTCATTGAGTCACAGGTGGGGGAGCTGGGTCTAAAGTGTCAGGATTTAGGATTTTCTCAAGAGCCAAAAATCTTAAAACTTAACAATACTGATCCAAGGACCTTTTGTTAAAGAGCGTTTATGCTATGAATGTCAACAGTGTCATGGTCATTTTATTTACAACCTGTTTATTAGACAATAAGTGTTGGAGTAAGGAACACATTAGGTTTGTATTGCACCTTCCACTTAAATTTCAGATTCAGTAGTCAAAAGGAACACTGAGGACTAATAGGGAATCAAGAATCAGGGTAACCTGGTCACGCAAAGGCCTTAAGCCCTTTCCTCTGTCTATTTTATGTACACAATCAGTTCTTCCTGTCTCCCCCCCCCCCCTTCCCCATTACACAAACAGCTTCTCAGTATCACTATGTGCTGTACTAGTCCCCTCTGTTAAAAGCCGTTTCCATCTATCTCACGGTGACCTATATACTGCTTGTGGAGATGCTGCATCAATTTAAGGTCAGACCCCTCCTCCCAGTTGATGTAATCAGCTAAAGAAGGAGGTTGGAAATTGGATTGAAAAGCCCAGCGTTAGTGCAGGATGAAGAGGATCTGCAGGGATTGTTATGCTAATCAGCTGAGCTCAGCACTTCCAGTGTCCTTCAGGCTCAGGGAACATTCAACAGCCCCCCAGAAAGCACTCTAAGACCCCGGTCCAACACTTCATAGCTCACATCATGAAAACACATGCCCGCTAGACTGAGTCATCCAACATAAGGCCCTGGAATTTACCTAAAACCTTTAGAACACCCACATGTACTAATAACTCTGTTATAATTTAATGTTTTGATTCCTGATAAATGCATTCTGGATTGTGACATTTTGTGGTTATGGTTATACTGATTATGATGTAGTATATCCATCACTTAGATGATATACATGGGTTCATGGCACATGTTGGTGCCCTAAGAAGTGGGGGTTGTGGTGAAGTTATTGAGGGCAGCTGCAGCCTGGCAACATGAGTCTGACAATGGGAGTACAGGAGGCGGAATGTTTCCACATGCCTGATCAATGGGAGCGGACAGCAAACAGGAGCTGGGAAAGAGACCCAGAGCCATAGCCCAGCGCCTCCCATCTATCATTCACTCTGCAAGAACTGCAGAGGCCGCTTCCAGGGATATCAAAACACTGTGATCTATAGGTTCCTCTCCTTACCATCCTTTTGGGGCCTGACTCTGCCTCAAACCCAGGTGTCCTCTGAATGACACAGCAGTATAGGATATTATTTATGGTGTGCTATCTACCGTCCTAAACCATCCAGTACCTCACTTGTCCTTCCAAATATTAGTACCATCCAGTATCTCACTTGTCCTTCCAAATATTAGTTTGTCCCTGCTGAATTTTTGGGTAAGATGTGGCAACTACATCCAGTACTACTACATCCAGAGAGAGCAGCCAGGAGCCTTTTTGTTTTTGTTGTTTGATGGGCCTTTAAAGCACTGTATTACTATGGCAACTTAAGAGTTAAATATATATAATGGTTATGACTTGTAAGGTAATGTCCCCATTTTACATACCTGATATATACTTAATAAGTAATAAAATCAACTGTGGCACTTAAGACATAAAAAGGGCTCACTTGTAAGTAAATAGGTTTATAAAATAAGTTCATAATATGCAACCTACCCATATACCCCTCCCCTTCTCTGTTTCTGTCATCTCGCTCCCTCTTTTTGCCCCTCCTCTTGGGCCTGGCTGTCTCTGAATCTAAACTGGGTCACGAGGTTTGAGTGAATGCAGCCTTTTCTAAAAGGTGAATTAAATCCACTTCTTCCAGCAGAAGCTGCGTCACCTTAATTCAGGTGTATAAATAACTCACTGTGATGGGGAGGAGGTACTGCGCTGCCTAACCTGTAATTAGAAACTCTGCCACTCAATTGCACTTTATAGAGACAAAGGGTAGTGGAAGGAGGGCCCTGTTCACAGACCCAACTATTTTGTTCCTAATAAATAATTCAGGATTTCGAAAGCTGATCCAAGCGCCCATCTGTTAGCAGCCAGCTTCGTGTGAGCCAGGGGACCCCCATGGGCACAGCACCCAGATGTGGATAAGAGGAGGGAGAGGGGCTGCCCCATGAAAGCAGGGACACCTGACAATTCAGGTTTCTGAATTACCAGAGAGTCAGGTTTCACTTTAAGTGTTACAAGAAACAAAAAGTAAGATGGCACACTGAAGAAAGAAAATAAGAGAGACACTGCCAAGAAACACAGAGGGCTTTTAGCGAGACAGAAGCAGGAGAAAAAAAGGTAAAAAGGATGTACTACTGATAGACAGAAACTGGAGCATTTTCAAAGCAGCCAAAGAAAGTAGAAACCGAGACTGATATTTGTAGGAGGTACAACAAGAGATGGTAAAAATAATGACAGGAGGGGTCGGTGCAAAAAAGTGAGCAAGAACAAGCAGCTGATTAGAGTGACAGAAGTAGATTCAAATAGCTGCATTTGAGTGCAGATAAAGTTCACAGTAGAAAAAGAAAAGTGGAGGTATTGGTAACAGGAATGATGTAGGTAGCAGTCACACTAATGCACAGACAGATGCTGGTGACACAGACAGTATATGATGTAGGTAGTTCAAACAGGGAGTAATCCAGGGGTTTTATGAGAGAAGATAGTGTAGGGCGCAGCAAAATGAAATAACGCAGAAAGATGGGAAGGTATTTGTGAAAAAAGTTACAGGCAGCAATAACAGTCAGTAATGAATAGACAGACACCAGAATCACTTACAGGATATGATGTAGGTAGCAGTAATACAAGTAATGTAGAGACAGACAATGGTATCATTGATAGAATATGACACAGGTAGCAGTAACAGGCCATATACAGAGACAAGTACAGGTATTACTGATAGAAAATCATCTAGTCAGCAGTAACACAGGGACTAATTCAGAGACACACACTGACACAGAAGATGCAGCGAAGAGAAGTAGTTGGGCATTCGTTTCGTATGAATGTGAATTTGTCAGAATTTTGCGCAATTAGTTCCTGAATGGGAAACACAAATTAATTAATTGCAATAGCAATTTGGCAAAAATGACTGAAAAATAAAGTGATCATGACTGAAGCTGCCGGTTTCCTCATTGCAATTAGAATATTTAAACATAGAAGTAGCAGAGCTCCCTGCCACTTACAACCCCCCTTGTGAAATTAATTATGGAACGCTCAGTTCAGGGGAACTTAAGGTAAAATAAATTCCAATATGACATCCTTAGAACCATAAAGCAGGTTTCAATCTCCCTTATTCCCCTACCCGCAGAACAGCTTACTGTCATAAAGACTTGCAAGTGGCCAGATATTGCTGCCCATTCACTAATACAATAAAGAATACAAATAACTAATAAAGTGAAGCGTCCACCCACTATTTCTTCATGCTTTTTTAATTATTATAATTTATTTGATGGTAAGTATAAATCGTATTCTTAAAGGGGAACTTAGTTTATTGTGCAACCACTCACTAGGAGTGACATTAGGTAGTCCCCCACATTATTATAAATAGAGCGCCAACCACCACACAAAATGCAGGAGGGAATGGGGGAAACTAGTACCCCCCATTCCTTTTATTAAATATCCCCCACATTATTATTTATTTGAGACTTTATTGTATTAGTGATTGGACAGCAATAGCTGTCCAGTCATCATTCTTTAATGACAGAAAGCAGTCACTGGCTGCTAACAATTTAGAAGATATGTCCCTACCCACAACTCCTGCATCTAAACCTCCCTTATACTAATATGGAGTTCTTATTGGTCCCCATAGGCTTTTATGTGTAAATTTATGACTCAGGGGTTTGGGGAACGAACCTGCTTCCATTTTGAAATTCTCACTTTCTGGCAATGAGTAAGAGGATAAAAATGAAAGCAGTTGTTCAATTTTGTTTTCAAAAGAAATTTAGATGAACTGAATCAAAGCATGGATGTAATTTGTTTGGGCTGAATTTTCTGAAGAAAGCATTCAGATAAATCAAAGTCTAGTAATAAAAAGGTTAATGTAGATGTTAGAAGAAATAATTATATAAAATAGATTTAACAGGCACAGAGACTGGTGTAGGTAACAATAAACAGGATAAAAGCAATAGTAGCCACATTATAAAACATAATGACAGCTGTATCGGAATACAGAGAGATGTATTAGGACAGATGTACTGTACTACAGTTAGGGGAAGCCCTCACTCTATAAACCCTTTAGTACATGCTGTACCTTACTAAAATACATTACAGAAAGCAAAGATGATAGGCACTTATTTTGGATATTGTGCTAGTCTCCTGGTTATGTAGTACTTTACACAACTGAGGATGGCACTATGTTGTCAGAATGACATCTTGGCATTTGAGTGTTAGCATAATTTTAGAGGCAACACCATGAAGCATAAATATATGCCATAAACATAAGGTTGCTGCAGTCACCATATTTTTTTGGACACATTTCACATCTACATTCTGGTTAACAACACATGAAAACAGTTGCCATTAAGTATGTAGGAGTCATATGCTGCAGACAAAAAGCTTGTTAAAAAAAAGCCCCTAAGGCATTCCGTGATGAATGTATTTTCTTCCAGCAGCTGATGAAATTCACAAGCTGCCGGGAGGGGACTTTTCTAAATATTAATCTTTAAAAGTACATGTTATTTTATCCCTATACTAGGTGCACTATTATGTATTTGCGTCTATTAAAGTAGCAAAAATGAACGGGATATTTTTTATTATGTCTTGTCATTTTGCCAAATGTATCTATGTAAAGTCATTCATTTGTAAATCACTTGCAGTTACACGCCAAAGATAATTGGGAGTACCAAAGCACTGTATATCTAACTGGCATTTAAAGGGTTAAAGGTCACTCATATTCAAGCTGCAGTTACGGATAGAGAGGGAGGGCTGTATTCAATGACATTGAATACACTTTAATAATGGTCTTTATCTCAACATTTTCTTTTGCTGTCTATAGGTGAATGTAGCCTGGAGCTATCACTCAGTAAACCTAGACATCTCCAGGCTAGTCACATTATGTACAAAGGCATTTCTGTATGAAAATAGTAAGAACCTTGTATATCACTTTGTACAATCACATTCTGATGCAAAACCTATAATGATTCCAAGCAAATCGCTAGCTAGGATGCTTCATACACATAGATGTGTTTGTATATGACACTGCAGGGTGTATGTTGAATGATTACATACCAACCTTAGGAAGCACTAAACCTCAAATACTGCTAAAAAGATTAACTATTGTATAGAATGTGAACACTGGCAGATGGTCACAGATTGGCTTGCATCATTTCATAGAGTGGCACATCACTTGCTTTTTGGTGGTACTATGTTCCTGGCAATTCATACACACACCTAACATCATATAGCATGTAAAGGAACGTAAAGCCATCTAAAAGTTTCAGAGGAGAATGAAGTCAATAAAACACCCCTCCCCCTTTAATGGCCATCTTCCATCCCACCTTCTCACATGTTCACTGCATAGGGAAGTTTCTTGTAGATATCCTGCTGGGCACAGCTTCAACTCTGACCCTGTGGTTACAAAAGAAGTGACCCATTCAGTGATTGCCCCTCCCCCATAGCCCTCCCTTAATAAGTACTAACTCCTTTATTCCCTGATATAAGCTGCTGCTGTTAAAATGTTAAAGGAACACTGTAGCGATAGGAATACATATATTGTATCCTTACACATTTAGCCCCCCTCCCCCATCTGTATATAAAAAAAGGGAAACAAAGAAAAGAAAATTAAAAAAATAACAAACTAATTACGCACCTCTTTGGACTGCGTCATCCTGGAGATGACAGGCCAATCCAAAGATCCTCATAGAGTTCCCTAGGGCTCATAGAGGAGCACTAGGGAGCATAGGCGCATGCATGGCGTTCACTTACAATTCCTCCATAGAGAATCATTGAATACATATGGCAAATCATGACGTGATGACGCTGTATGTTACGGAATAATTCCCAGCTCTCATACCCAGAGGCGTGGCATGAAGCCATTCTTCCAAGCTTTCTATTTAGTTTAATATTGGGTTTTGGGTGTAGGACAGGGGAGGGCAGGACTGCAGCCACTATAAGAACTTCAATTAGATGTCCCTTTAAAGATGACGCCAATTCCAATCACTTTAAAGGAAAACTATAGTGTTAGGAATACAAAACTTTTCCTAACACAATAATGCCCTCTGCCCTCCCTACCTTGAAGCCCCCCCAATGTCAGATAAAGAATTAAAAAAAATCTTTATTGACTTACCCAATTCAAATGCTGGTGTCCTTTGTGGTCCTCCTCCACCATCACTCGATAGGGGTGACCTAATGCACATGTGCGGTGAGTGCTGTGCACATTAGGCCTTCCTTATAGGGAAGCATTGCTGCTTTCTTATGGAGATTTTCAACACACTGGATGTCCTCAGTTATAGTGCAAAGCGTAAGGACGTCCAGCATCGTTTGACGGAATCCAGGAAGTGCCTCTAGTGGTTGTCTGCTTGACAGCCACTAGAGGCAGTCTTGCTCTGTTAATGTAAGCATTGCAGTTTCTCCAAAACAGGGTTATGAGAACAGGGACACTGCACCCAGACCAAATGAGATGAAGTGCTGTGGCTGCCTATAGTGTCCCTTTAAAAATCTCGGCAAGCATCATTATAGTAATGCTATAATGTTATAGCATTGAAATCAGGATATAACATGGGATAATGAATATGCTTCTTTTCAGGTTTTAATCTAAACAGTGGGGAGATACAGAAGTCCACTCATTAAAGGGCCACAATAGGCAACAGGACTACTTCATATAATTGAAGTGGTCTGGGTGCAGTTTCCCTGTGTCATAACTCCACAGGTGAAAACACAGCAGTTTTAGAGAAACTAATTTTTTTTATTGCAGTGTCAAGACTGCCTTTAGTGGCTCTCTACCAGACAGCTACTAGAGGCAGTCCCTAGCTTTCATGGAGCTTAACTCTGTGAAACGACACTGAACAACGCTTTGCATGAGGAAGTCCAGCATCCTCAACTAAATCCCCATAGGACATGTATACCTAACATTACAGCATTCCTTTAACTCTCGTGGACAGTGGAGATGACTGTGGATGATAACTCCTATCACTTTTAATGAGGTTTCACTTGGCTAGGAGTGCAGGCAATTACATTCCCAGACCCACAAAACCTTATTCCCCAATCCTAACAGTGACATTTAAATTGGAGTGGCTATGAACGGTTCTGAATAATGCTGTGACATTACAGTGTCAACCAAAATCTTAAAGGCCTGGGTTTACAGTTGCATTTCATATGGCAAAATTGGAAGCTATAGACCCACAAGAGTAAGCTAGTCACAAACATTGCATTTCTAACTAAATTTGAAAGCAATTTATTTGACCTCGAATTTTAATTTAAATATATGTTGATAAAGGGTCCCACCTGGGCTCACCAAGACAATAGGCCTTATATAGTTACATAGCGGAAAAGAGACTTGCGTCCATCAAGTTCAGCCTTCCTCACATATGTTTTTGCTGTTGATCCAAAAGAAGGCAAAAAAACCTAGTCGAAGCGCTTCCAATTTTGCAACAAACTAGGAAAAAATTCCTTCTTGACCCCAAAATAGCAGTCAGATATCTCATTGGATCAAGCAGCTATTATCCCACTAATTAGAAATTATATCGATGTATGTTATGTTTTTGCAAGTATTTATCCAATTGCTGTTTAAACATCTGTATGGACTCTGATAAAACCACCTCTTCAGGTAGAGATTTACCAGATTTTACTAATTTCATGACGTAAAGTCATGATTTTATTAAGGACACGGAGGCGAGTATTATGCTTATTCTCTTTCTTTTATTCCTCAGCAGCAAAAATATTTATTTTAGAGAAACAAATCAAACATGAAAACATGCACCCAAATGGTTAATCATATAACCGTACAACCAATCATAATGCCTTCAGCACCATCAACTCCCCATGTGACCTTAAGCCACTCCTCTTTCTTGGTGTTGTCGACGAAGAATCCACAGCAGAACATATGTCAACTTGAAGGAAAACAAAATGCCAAGAACGCCACGGAGAAGAATCCGGTACTCTTCAGAAGCTGGGATCTTCCCGTAGGTCCTGAAGGAATCCGTGCACAACGGTGCCAAACCCGCTCATGAAGCTGAAAGGAACAGAGAAACAAACTGGTAAAATATGTTTCTGGACATCTGATCATTACCATAGAACAGAATTAAGCATCTGAATATATGCCATCAATAACAGATTATCATCTAACCAAACCTTTCAATACACGCAATGTGCTGTAGTAACCTAAATCCGTAGTAACTTAATGACCACACATCCATGGGAGGGCACCACTTACCTGAATGGGGTGGGATAATACTCGCCTCCGTGCTCTTAATAAAATCATGACTTTACATCATGAACTTAGTAAAATCTGGTAATTTTATTAAAGGACACAGAGGCTCATATTTTGCTAGTTCAAAGCTGTGAAACGACCACATCAGAAAAATGAGAAATTGGCCGAAAATAAAACTCCTTGAAGGTAGATTCGCGGGACCAATCAGCCGCCCGGAGTAGGTCATCCAACCTGCATCCTTTGGAGAAAGCCTTAGTCGCCATGGGTCCCCTGACCGAGTGTGCTCCATACACTGAAGTGTCGATGCCCGGTGATGCCATAATCCATTTGACGCAAGGAGACAATGTGACTGCTGAAACAGGGTGATCTGGATGACGAAGGGCCAAGAATAACTCCGGATATGCAGGGTCACGAGTCGAAGAAGTCCTGGACTCGTATTCCTTGAGACATGCCACTGGACATAGCTTAGAATTTTGTGGAAAGGCCGGTAGAAAACTGAGGTGATTGACGTCTTCGTACGCCGGGAAATATTAAACGAGACACCTTCGGGGGTGAATAAACGTGCAGAGAGGTCCAATGCATGCACACTGGACACCCATTTACAGGAGATCAAACAAAATAACATCACCAACTTTGCTGTGAGTTGTTTCAGTGAGAGATCTTCGTTCTTTGGCCAGTCTCCCAGGAGCTGGAGGACAAGGTCAACATCCCATGATGAAGAGTACCTAGGTTGCGGTGGACGTGCAAATCTAATGCCGCGCAGGAGTCGGCATACGAGGAGATGTTTACCTGCCGGGGAACCATCCAATCCTTGGTGTCCTGCGGAAATAGCCGATCAGTACACATTTATCGTGCGATAGGCTAGGCCATGGTCAAACAGAGAAGTGAGAAATCTCAAAACGAGACTTCCAGGTGCAGATAAGGAATCCATGTGTTGTTCCATGCACCAACCACTCTATGAATTCCAGGCATGTATGAAGGATTTCCTTGTCCCCGGAGCCCAAGCTCCCACCAGAAGGTCAATAGTTGTCTGTGGAATGTCTGGGATGAATCCAAGTCCCCGGAGAGGAGCCATGCCAGTAACTGGAGGTGTTCCTGTAATAGCAGGCAGTGCGGTTCCCCGTTGGGGTCCAATAAGAGGTCCGGAGAGGTTGGAAGTAGTCTTGGGTAATCCATGGACATTTACATGAGTGTAGGGAACCATGGTTGAGCCGTCCAGAATGGGGCGATAGGAATCATGGAGTTTCGGTAGCGCCTGAGATGTAGAAGCGTCCTCGCAATCAAGGAGAAAGGAGGAAAAGCATACATTCGCGTGTCCAGCCACCGTTGAAGGAATGCATCTGAAGCCAACGCCTCTGGATCGGGTCTCCAACTGAAGAACTTCGGTAGTTGGGAGTTCAACCGTGATGCGAAGAGGTCGATCTCCAGTGGGCCCCAAAGTGACTGGAGTTGCAGGAAAATGTCCCGCTTCAGCTGCCAGCATCCCGTAGGTATCTGGAATTCCAATCCGCCACCATATTGGACATCCAGGGAATGTATTCCGCCTGAACCGAAATATTGCGATCCAGTCAAAAGTGCCAGAAATCCTTTGCTAGTTCCGCTAACACCACGGACCTTGTACCACCGAGATGGTTGATTTAGTGGACTGCTGACACGTTGTCCATCCGTAAAAGAATGGAACAGTTGGTTGAGATACCTACGAGACTCCGAACTGCAAATGACCCCGCCAATAGTTCGAGGCAATTGATGTGTAACTCCTGTTCGTCTGGGGACCATTTTCCCTCCGGTGGAGATAGGACCGCAACGCGCGCCCCTGCCCAGCATACTTGCATCCGATTCCACGACAAAGTCTGGCCTCATCCCAAAGATTGCTCTTCCATTCCATGCTTCCATGTGTTGCAGCCACCAAGAGAGTTCTTCTTTGGCTGCGCAATCGAGAGGTACAGAGTCTGAATAAGAGAGACCCGAGCGAAGGAATTTTGCCTTTAGGCGTTGAAGGGCCCTGTAGTGAAGTGGGCCCGGGATGGAAGCAGAGAGAAGGCTGATGACCCTGGCCAGTTGTCGTAGTGTTAGCGTAGGTCGAGCCAACGTCCGGCGGATCTCTTTCTTGATGATCCTGACTTTGGAAGATGGTAACAGCAGTGTTCCTTTCACCGAATCGATGGTGAAGCCCAGGAATTTCAAGACTTGGGAGGGTTGTAACAGCGACTTGTCCCAGTTGATGAGGAAACCAAGGTTGCCGAGTAATGTCTTTGTCCAATTCAGGTGTTCTTGGAGTAAGCGTGGGTCTTGTGCCATCAGAAGCATGTCGTCCAAGTATATAATCAGACGCACCCCCCTGCTGCGCAGGAGAGCGACCACTGTCCGCATGAGCTTTGTGAAGCACCATGGGGCCGAGGAGAGGCCGAAGGGCAAGAATTTGAAACGCCATGTGGTCTCCTCCCACATCCGCCTTTTTTGGGCACCACGAAAAGGTTGCTTAGAAAACCTGAAACTCCCAGATGCATCTCTGTGATTGCACCTTTGTCGGCCAGAGACTGTATCTCCGCCGCAATTAATGCTCTGTCGTGGGTGGAGGAGACTATATGTCTGGGAAGAGATATCTGGACAGGTGTTTGTACAAATTCTATGGCATAACCCACTACAGTTTGTAGGACCCAAGTATCCAAAGTTAACATGCGCCAGGTATCTATAAAGTGGCATAACCTGCCCCCCACCAATGTTACTGAAGGTAGTGATGAAGGAATTGAACTTACCATAAGGACGTCGGTCATAGGAAGAGCTTCTGGACCCAGGAGCCTGCCAGGGTCTTCCTCGAACTGGGAAGAATGGAGAGGACTTGGGTTCCGCACCCTGGTAACGTGACTGGAAGGAGCCTCTAGAAACCCGGTACGAGCCCCGGGAGGAACGGCCGGGCAGACGGCCCTGATATCTGCCGGCCCCGCCAAAAACTCTATGGGAGAATACCTTTTTCATATTGGCTTGCGCCTTGTCCAGT